GGAGCGGCTGCTGACCGACCAGGGCAAAAATTTTTCCAGTAAATTACTTAAACAAGTCTGTGACCTCTTAGGCACAAAGAAAATTCGGACCTCCCCGTATCACCCGCAGACTGACGGAATGGTCGAGCGCCTGCATCGCACCATTTCGTCAATGATGGCACAGCAGGTCTCAGATTCACAGACTGATTGGGACCTGCATATTCAGGGGGTCTTGGCGGCATACCGGATGGCACCCCATGCAGCTACGGGATTTTCCCCCTTTTACCTCATGTACGGTCGCGAACCCGACCCGCCTGTTCGCGCCCAGCTGCAGATCCCCGACCCGCAAGGAAAAACTAAATTGGCTGACCACGTCAAATTTAATCTGGCTAAATTAACAGAGGCGCGGGATGCTGCGAGGTTGAACTCGGACCTCCGTCAAAAGGCGAATGAGCGCCTCAGGCTGGGTCGGGCGCATGTGATACAGTGGAAGCCGGGGGACAAGGCATGGTTGCACTGTCCCCAAGTGCCCCTGGCTACCTCCCCTAAGCTGGCGCGGCCGTGGCGGGGCCCTGTGGAAGTGGTCGAGGTCTTGCGACCACAGTGCGTGCGCATTCGATGGGCGAAGCGGCGATGGTTCGTGCACCCCTCTCGGTTGAAACCCTTCGTCGCGGTACACAAACCCACTTCACACATGCGTGGCCAGACGTGTGGGGGGTCGACCGACTCACTAGGTCCGTCTCCGCCGCGCTCACCTAATGCCTTGCCGGCCGTGCCACCTCCAGGTGCATCGAGACTGACGGGCTCACGCCCGACCACCCCTTCTGGGGATACCAACGGTCACACGGCATCAGAGGAGGTCTCACTCCGGGACGGACGATTACCACCTGACGGTCCGCCACCCGGGGTTTCCCCGTGTGAGGGGCCCGCCGCAAGGACACGCGCAAAAATGCGCAGACTGTTGTGAGACCGCAAGATGTGTATATATGTTGTGTTCATTGTGTGTTGTGTGGGGGGGTGTGTTCCCTGCCCATTGAATTTACATACGTTGTGCTCACCTGCTGTTGTGTGTATGGTGGCTTCCCTGCAAATTGTATATAGCTTGTTTCTTACGGAATTCGTATTTATTCAAGGGGGGGTGCGTCGGGTTGTTTTCTTTTCTTGCTGTGCATTTTTTTGGTGTTCTTGTTGCCGTTCTTGTTATTGTTGAAAATTAGTGAGGCACACGCGCGGTTACGGTAAAAATTCATTTTTATTGTCATTCTGTATGTTGGCAGCCGGGACGGCTGCAAGCTATGCGGGGGGGGGGGGGATGTAGGGGTGTTAGAGAGAGGGCCGTTATGTATGGCAGTCTATGGGAAACAAACACAGTGGGCGGGGCTACGTGTGTGCACAGGGAGATGCCCTCTGCGACGTCCGAGCCAGACACCCTGGGGGGGGCTGGTTTGGCGTTATGATCCCCCGGGGCCCCACCCCTCAAGGAGGGTTGGGTATAAAAGGGGACGTTATATGGCCTCGAGTTCAGTTATGTTATAGTTAACCAAGAAGGCTGAAGACGTCTTAGATAGAGCCCTGGACTCCCCTCGTTCGATGTCCTTATCAGGGCCGAACAGGACTGAGCCAGCGGCGTGGTCCCGAAAGCCAGAGCCGGTGCTCTTCTAAGAGCTGGTCTGGGACTCCGGGTACCGGCCCGACTTACCAGTGTCGGGCCAAGTAGCCTCCCCTAGCCCAGTAGTGGAGGACTGTGAGGCAGGCTAGGACTTAGCTAGGAAGTGTATCCTTAGCTAGTCGGGTGAGGGGGCCGATACCCCCTCCAGTGCTGTATGTCACATACGAGCTGTGTTGAATAAATATCCGTGTGCCTCCACCTCGGCGTCAAGTGTCTTCACCGGTACTTCAATAGTACAGGCAGTCCTCGACTTACGAACAGCCGCACTCACGAACGCCACCCCCACTCACGAACGCCACCCCCACTCACGAACACCACCCCCACTCACGAACACCACCCCCACTCACGAACGACCACCCCCACTCACGAACGCCACCCCCACTCACGAACGCCACCCCCACTCACGAACGCCACCCGCACTCACGAACGCCACCCCCACTCACGAACGCCACCCACACTCACGAACGCCACCCCCACTCACGAACACCACCCCCACTCACGAACACCACCCCCACTCACGAACACCACCCCCACTCACAAACACCACCCTCACGAACACCACCCCCCACTCACGAACGCCACCCCCCACTCACGAACACCACTACCACTCACGAACGCCACCCCCACTCACGAACGCCACCCCCACTCACGAACACCACCCCCACTCACGAACGCCACCCCCACTCACGAACGCCACCCCCACTCACGAACGCCACCCCCCACTCACGAACGCCACCCCCCACTCACGAACGCCACCCACACTCACGAACGCCACCCCCACTCACGAACACCACCCCCACTCACGAACACCACCCCCACTCACGAACACCACCCTCACGAACACCACCCCCCACTCACGAACGCCACCCCCACTCACGAACACCACCCCCACTCACGAACGCCACCCCCACTCACGAACGCCACCCCCACTCACGAACGCCACCCCACTCACGAACGCCACCCCCACTCACGAACGCCACCCCCACTCACGAACGCCACCCACACTCACGAACGCCACCCCCACTCACGAACACCACCCCCACTCACGAACACCACCCCCACTCACGAACACCACCCCCACTCACAAACACCACCCTCACGAACACCACCCCCCACTCACGAACGCCACCCCCACTCACGAACACCACTACCACTCACGAACGCCACCCCCACTCACGAACGCCACCCCCACTCACGAACACCACCCCCACTCACGAACGCCACCCCCACTCACGAACGCCCCCCCCACTCACGAACGCCACCCCCACTCACGAACGCCACCCCCCACTCACGAACGCCACCCACACTCACGAACGCCACCCCCACTCACGAACACCACCCCCACTCACGAACACCACCCCACCCCACTCACGAACACCACCCCCACTCACGAACGCCAACCCCCACTCACGAACACCACCCCACTCACGAACGCCACCCCCACTCACGAACGCCACCCCCACTCACGAACGCCACCCCCACTCACGAACGCCACCCCCACTCACGAACGCCACCCCCACTCACGAACGCCAACCCCACTCACGAACAGCCACCCCCACTCACGAACGCCACCCCACTCACGAACGCCACCCCACTCACGAACACCACCCCACTCACGAACACCACCCCCACTCACGAACACCACCCCACTCACGAACGCCACCCCCACTCACGAACGCCACCCCCACTCACGAACGCCACCCCCACTCACGAACGCCACCCCCACTCACGAACGCCACCCCCACTCACGAACGCCACCCCCACTCACGAACGCCACCCCCACTCACGAACGCCACCCCCACTCACGAACGCCACCCCCACTCACGAACACCACCCCCACTCACGAACGCCACCCCCACTCACGAACACCACCCCACTCACGAACGCCACCCCACTCACGAACGCCACCCCCACTCACGAACGCCACCCCCACTCACGAACGCCACCCCCACTCACGAACACCACCCCCACTCACGAACGCCACCCCCACTCACGAACGCCACCCCCACTCACGAACGCCACCCCCACTCACGAACGCCACCCCCACTCACGAACGCCACCCCCACTCACGAACGCCACCCCCACTCACGAACGCCACCCCCACTCACAACGCCACCCCCACTCACAACACCACCCCACTCACGAACACCACCCCCACTCACGAACGCCACCCCACTCACGAACACCACCCCCACTCACGAACGCCACCCCACTCACGAACGCCACCCCCACTCACGAACGCCACCCCCACTCACGAACGCCACCCCACTCACGAACGCCACCCCCACGCACGAACCCCCCCCCCCCTCACGAACGCCACCCCCACTCACGAACGCCACCCCCACTCACGAACGCCACCCCCACTCACGAACGCCACCCCCCCTCACGAACGCCACCCCCACTCACGAACGCCACCCCACTCACGAACACCACCCCCACTCACGAACGCCACCCCACTCACGAATGCCACCCCCACTCACGAACGCCACCCCCACTCACGAACGCCACCCCCACTCACGAACACCACCCCCACTCACGAACGCCACCCCCACTCACGAACGCCACCCCCACTCACGAACGCCACCCCCACTCACAAACACCACCCCCACTCACAAACACCACCCCCACTCACGAACACCACCCCCACTCACGAACGCCACCCCCACTCACGAACGCCACCCCCACTCACGAACGCCACCCTCACTCACGAACACCACCCCCACTCACGAACGCCACCCCCACTCACGAACGCCACCCCCACTCACGAACACCACCCCCACTCATGAACACCACCCCCACTCACGAACACCACCCCCACTCACGAACGCCACCCCCACTCACGAACGCCACCACACTCACGAACGCCACCCCCACTCACGAACGCCACCCCCACGCACGAACGCCACCCCCACTCACGAACGCCACCCACACTCACGAACGCCACCCCCACTCACGAACGCCACCCCCACTCACGAACGCCACCCCCACTCACGAACGCCACCCCCACTCACGAACGCCACCCACACTCACGAACGCCACCCACACTCACGAACGCCACCCCCACTCACGAACGCCACCCCCACTCACGAACGCCACCCCCACTCACGAACGCCATCCCCACTCACGAACGCCACCCCCACTCACGAACGCCACCCACACTCACGAACGCCACCCCCACTCACGAACACCGCCCACACTCATGAACGCCACCCTCACTCACGAACGCCACCCACACTTACGAACGCCCGCGCTTACGAACTCTCGCAGTCTCTCTCTCCCCGAGTCGTCCTCTCTCTCTCTGAGTCGTCCTCTCTCTCTGAGTCGTCCTCACATCTCTTCTGGCGGTGCTCAGGGCGTGGCGCTGGTGGAGCGTGCCGCTCGACCGGAGGTGATTTCCCTGCTGCGGGTGGAGGACCTCCCCGACGATCCCCAGGAGCGCTTTCCAAGCTCTTCAGCCTCCGCGACAAGTGGACGGAGGAGGATATCGCCCCCTACGTCCGGTGAGTGACTCCTCTGGGTGACTCTCCCCTCCCCGCCAATGCTCCCACGCGCCCGGTTTAACGCATAGTAGTAGTAGTTAAGGGGCTTTCGTGACCAATATCCACACTAGAGTTGTTGTTTTTTGGGGGGTTAGATCGGGTGAATATAAATGTGTCGTGCAACCCGCCACCACCACCCGACGTGACATGGCCAATTTAGTAAGGGGTTTGTCACGTAAACAAAACCGTGCCAATTTATTACTAGTTCAGCACTTCACCCGGTTGTGTGTCGGAGAGAGCGTGGCTCACCCATTATTGTGTTTAATTATCGTAGTCGCTGAACACAACACAGACCTCCGGGATGGCCTATGTAATACAATCACATTCTGTAAACTTTGCTGTGTGGGAAATGTTTTGTGGACAGCAACCTGGCATTGGGAGAAGTGAACTCTCTTTCGTGTGAATTTCCCAGCTCCTGTGGAGGCTGCTTTGACCGAGACTGCCTCTCCCACCCACCACCCCCCTCCCCCACCCCATTGTGCCCCTCGCCCCCAGCGATCTGTGTGCGGAGAAGCAGAGCGTTTCAGCGCTGCTCACCAAGCACGCTCGCTCCTCCACGCACAGCGGGGTCAAGGTGTTCAACTCTCGCCGCTCCGTGTCATGAGGACCGCCGCAGCCGGGACCGGGACTACGGGGGGGGGCCCGGCCTATGGGGGGCCCCCAGTACGCCCAGGAGGAACGGGACGGAAAAACTGGAGGCAGGGTGGGCAGGAGATGGCCGCTGTACCCCAACGAGTTCTTTTTTTTTGTTGCGCCGGTGCGTTTGGTTGGAAGAGCGCCGCTGAAAGTCAAAGGGGGTCGGTGACGCAGGCAAATACATTTCGCAGGAGAAACCGAACAACTGTGTGCGTCAGTACGGCGAGTCTTCCTTCTTAAAGTGAATGTGTGAGTCGTCTAGTTTCACCTGTATGTATTATTTGCACGAGGCTCTTCTAGGATACCCAACAAGGCAGTGATCTTCGCTAATTTTCAGAGGGGGGGGGGGGGGGGACACATTGGCCGATAAGGCATCACAATCGGTGTGAGCGAGGGCCACCATATTTGAAACCATTGGGGGTTTGAGAGCAGCACGATGATGATGTGGGGGTAGGAGGTTGTTTTCACATTTTGTTGTGTATTGTCGGGGGAGGGCCGCACGTCAGGGAGCCGCACTGAAGGCCACCCAGGGGCTGCCAGTGGGCCCGCGGTGGCCTTGCATTGAAGAACACAGGAACAAGGCCTACGACCAAATCACCCGAGATGTGGCCCGATCTCGGCAGATCTCGGCAGCTAAGTTGGGGGTTGGGCCTGGATAGCACTCGGATGCGTGGCCACCTTACACAAACATATCTTCTCAAACACATCATCTTCTTCGTATGGCTGATGTTGATGGAGACTGTGTTTCTGAAATTGTTTGGGCTTACCGTCAACTTCCCCTTCTTGAATTTAGTTTCAACCTAGTTAGACCAACATGGTTCTGAGAAATAAATGTCCGAATAATGAACATCAATATTTTAATCAATTGTCCATTTTGCCAGGTATATCCTAACTAGCTACTAACTGCAAGCGAATAAAAAAAATCAACGGATGCCTCTGCGTGCGTAACGTCATTTGTTCGCGCTCATTGGGTTGAGCTTGAAAACCAAAATTGCTTCCTATCAACGCGTTTAGAAAGGTCTTTGATATCGTTCTCGGTTACCATATCAATTAAAATGTTATCACATTTATTTTTTATATTGGAAGATTCATCCATGATTATCCACCAATGACTCATGCGCGATATAATTTCACACATTTCTAAATCGGCTCGCGTTACCCCCCCCCCCCCCCCCCACTGATGTAACAGCAACAACCGTCATGTTACATTGCGGTGGCCGAGCCGGATAATTGCGTCAGGAGTAGCGGAGCGGTGAAGTTACCGTTCAGTGTGTGAATCAGCCATTCAGTCTTCGTCATGGTTCTGTTGTGTGGGGAGCTGTGGTGCAGCGGTTAGCGCTGCGCTACAAACCTGGCGACCCGAGTTCGATTTCTGCTCACCAGCGACGATTATCTGAACTGGTCCTGGGCCTCAAATGAGTACCTGGTGCGGTGTGTAAAAAACATCACTGGGGAGACAAAGGCGGCTGAGCATGGTGCTGGCCACACTCCCTCGTGTGCTGTTCTGGCCTTCATAGGTGCTCGCTAACAGCACTTGCCCCAACAGTCTGTTAAGGCTATACAGGAGATCTTTGTCTTCATGCTTTGGGCAATCGCAGCCGATGAGTGCCGATGTCACGTGTACCGACGTCACTGGGAGGAAGGGGGGGGGCTGTTACGTCGCAAGCTGTCAAAGACAAAACCTTTCAGCATCCGGGGTTTAGGGCAGACCCTACGGTAAATGTTCGTGCGGTTTTCTCAAACAGCGACGCTTCAACGCTCACGGTTCGTCCACAGCAAATCATCTCAACGAGAGTTTATTGTTGCCAGAGGCAATGCGTTAACGCTTTTGATCTCGGCATTCGAGAGAGAGCGAAAACTGCACAACGCTGAGAAAAAAAAGACTCGATAGTTTAATGAGATTGCATTCCACTTAAAACCGTTTCGCTCAAAGCTCGTCACGAAGTTGAATTTACAGCAAACTGCAACGCCCGATTTGGTAAACGTTATTAAGGCGTTGCGCTGCCATGCAATACGATCACCCGCGGTGGGGGTGAGGTGGGGTGGGAACACACACGGGAGAACATTGATCGCTTTCCCGCTCCAAGACGTCCGCAAGTTGCAGGGTGGTGGGCGTCCCATTCACCGCCGAATCTCGGAACGCGCGAACGGTTCGCGTTAATTATATTTAGAGGCGTAGTAGCGCCGTAGTTTTAAGTTTACATTGTCACCGCAGAGAACTGTTAGCGACACCACCGCTGCCACTCGACGATAGCCGGCGGCCAAACTGTACCACACACGGCCCTCCAGCATGGCCTTGTGGGAGCCTCGGTAACGATAACGTGATTTTATTTCAGCTTTTTCTTAAATTAACACGGCAATAGAATTGGAAGAACAACTCATGACGTGTACGTACGTATGCACGTCATCGGAACGGGAAAGGGTCAATGAATAGGGTACAGTTACAGAAGACGGCACAACATCACACTTAAATTAACACTCGGCAATACGGTTCGCAACCCCAATGGGTTCGTAATGGTCGACACGATTCCCCAGAGCACGCGACCGTTCAGCCACTATTGTCCACACAGCGATGATACACTACTACTACTCGGCTGCGCCTGACGCGGTTGTCTGGCTTGACCACCGGAATGTGAAATTGTCGTTGTTTCTCTGCATCTACGTCAGCCGTACGACAAGAAAAAAGATCCACACGCCTGCCCCGTAACGCACCACGATCGGCAGCTGCTATTTAACAATGAACGAAGGCCCCCTTGAAATCCATCGCTCGCAAGGCAGTTCAGTCAATCCCTAATTTGTAGTAGTTGTAAGTCAGCGGGGGGCCAGTTAGCCTGGTCAGCAACGACAGCACAAATAAAACACGCATCACATTCTGGTTGTGCACTTAAGTTGGCGAAATTACAGCTCTAGAGAATTAAAACTACGAGTTTGTCCGTGGCACGGCGAGCATTTACTCTGGTGTAGCCGAGCGAGTGGCATGTGGCTGCCCCCATAGCATGCGTGCACCAGAGAGGTCACTCGAAGGAATCTCAGAGGTAGCTCTTTGATATCCGCTTCCGCATGCCGTTCACCAACGTGGGAAGTGAGATGCTCTGTGTGTGGGTCTTGGAGGTAGCTCTGCAACGGAATTCGCTTTCGCGCGGTCGTTCAGGAGATGTCTATCTCATGCCGCCAACAGCACAATCGGGATAAACTTAGTGAAAAATTTACAAAATTAATTTACAAACAATATTCTCTCTCTCAAGTCTTTATTTCCAGGTGATAATTAAATTTGGGATTTGTTAGATGACGTGAAAACCATGTCCTGCTGATAATGTGACGAAGTCTTAAACATCTTTTTTTTTGGCATCACGCCACGCTTTGGAAATCCCCAGAATAAATGGGTTGGATCGCGTAAATATAAATGTGTCGTTAAACCCCACCACCACCCGACACAGCCAATTATTAAGGTTTGTCCCAAAAACAAAACGTGCAAATTTGTTACCAGTACAGCACACCGCTTGTGTTGGAGAGTAAACCTACAACATTTGCAATTCGAGTGACGTTTCGCCACTAATTACAACCAGCAGCACAACTGGCTGTCGCCTGATGATGCAGGTTGTTGTAATCATTGGCGACGTCACTACTCGAATTGCTTCAGTGGCATGTCTGTCGGCGAGCCCCAAGCTTGTACTCGGTAATTGACAAGCAAATCGGGTGGTGTGGAATTATGCGTTAAAGGAAACTACTTTAAAACGCCAGAACGTCTGGCAAAATGACATGGTTACTACAGCAACACAAATATAAAAAAACATTTTTTTTTGCCAAACTTGAGTATACGGCTAAAATCGCCATTGAACAACAACAGCAACGTGTAGAGAATGGGTGTGTGAAGCCCCACCCCTGCACCACTCTCCGTATTAACTTTAACGACTCGCAAAATGGAGCGGTTGCGACGATACCCAGAGGCATGAGTTCTATTCCCAGTCCCTGTTAATATTGGCTGCAATTGATATATGAACAGGTCCCTGGCCACCCTCCCCACCCATCACAAAATCCTGGTGAAGTATGGTCAAACAAACCCCCTGACCGATAGAGCGTGGCGGGGCATTAATCAGGCAGTGGATTGGCAAATGGTTTCCCACCTACCCACGCATTGGTAACCAAAATCATTTCGGATCTATTTAAATTTTAACAAGAAAAATAACCTAAACGCATCCCGCTGCTGATATTGCGTTGCAGTCGACGACGCAAGACGGAGTGTAAACGGCGCAAGACGGAGTGTAAACGTTACGCACAAAAGGTTATTCGTAGGCGGCAAAGGTGCGTTATTCACGAATTGGGCTGTCCACGGATAAAGAAAGTAATGAGAGAGAATGTGATGCGAGATAAAGTGATGCGATAAAGTGACGAGAGATAAAGCGATGAGAGGTAAAGCGATGAGAAAAAGTGATGAGAGAGAATATGATGAAATAAGGTAAGTTCATTATAAACTATTATTTAATCCTTTTATATTTATTTAGTATTTACTTTGTTTATTATGACCAATTCAAATTGTGTCACGATAATCGTCACGTATTTAATAGCTCATGTATTTATTTACGGTAAATCATTTAAAAGGTTTTCCTCGGCCAATATCATTATCCGCGAAATCTGCTTCCCTCGCCGCGAATAACGAGGGAGGCGCTGGGCATGCAGTACCGTGGCATCACGTGACGCGCGCATCGCAGGAGGACCGATCTTGTGGTCACAATCGCATCTCTCTCACGTCGAATAATCACATTTTTCGTGCTATTACCACCACTTGCCGCTCACGATTCATCATTCTCCAGCCCCTGCATGAACGTGTTCTGTTTGATGAGTTTTCCCCGTCGTAAACGGAGAGCGTTAGAATTGGTTTCAATATTAGTGGAGTAGAACCCCTGTTAACGACTAATCGCTTAATGACAGGCCTCTAGGAGCCCAATGTGTTCGCTTACCGACCATTCCCCTGTTAACGGCGTGCTGTTCTAGGTACAGTAAATATGAATGCATTAAGCCTTTTTTTGAAACTATGTGTTTATCATTTTGTTAGTATCTTCATGTATTAATATCAATTGTTTAAGTATATTAAAGTGCGTATATTTTGGTGAGGTAACTTTCGATGCTATCGGAACGAATTAAGTCTTTAACGTGCATTTCCTATACTCGCTTAACGACCAAGTCACTTAACGGCCGGTTTTGTGGCACCAATCACCGTCGTTAAGAGGGGTTCTATCGTATTGTGCAATAGATTCGGCAGGGGCGGTGACCCGTGCGGTAGCACGTTGGCCGCCCCGTTGCAGATGTTTGTGGTGCGAACCCAAGCGGCCGCCCTGGTTAATACTGCCGCGAGATGTTAACTACTTCGCCTGGTATACAGGAGGGCGTGGGTTCCATTATTTGGAGTTTGTGGTGTGTGTCTCTCTCTCTCCCCATGGTCGTGTGGATTTTTCTCCGGGTCCTCAGGTATTTTCCCCTCCGCATTTCGAATCGACGTCACGTTTAGAGTATTTGGCTGCTGCTCGACATTTCCACACGATGGTGAGCTGGATGAGGGCATCCTCCCCCCATACTGTGCAGGCCGTTGGGGGAGGGGGGCTACTTGACCATACTTCGCCACGCCGGTCACTGGGTTAGTGAAACTGGGGAGCAAAGGACGTGGGAGCGTATAACTGCAACACAACAATGCATTTGACCAAATGTCCCGAATGGATCCCGGCAGCCACCTGGACGACAACCCCATTCTGCGTCGTGGTCACCCATCCGCAAGCGCACGCCTGCTGAGCGTCAGAGATCCGAGACGAGATCGGGGCACGATCCTGGTGACGTGGTCACGACGATGGTGTGTCAGCTGGAGTATCGTTTGTAAAATACAGTCATGCACAGCTGTGTATCCATGCACGTGCAGAAACACGGTAGGAAGCGGGGTTGAAACAAACATCGGTGATTCCACGGTTTTTCATGCAGGTTCCGGCCAACTACTTTAATTACGAATGCGCGACAGGGCAAGGAAATCTTCCTACCGAGGAGCTACATTTAATTCCCGATAACGCTCACCACGAGCGTTCGTCTCGATTGCAGGAGCTGGGCCGTTTTTGACTTTTTACTGGGCCCTCATCAGGGAGAATGTGGCCTCGAAAAGCCAAAGCCCACCTCTGGGCTCGCCGTGACGAGTTGGGGGGGCGGGGGGGGGGGTCTCAGGAAACCTGCCCATCTCTGTGCCGCATTTGAGACCTCAATTCTCAAAACGCAGCAGGAGCCTCGTGCCGAAAACGAACAGCGTGGGTGGTGTATGCAGCAGCAACAACGGCGACAACGACGAATCACGTGGCGCACAGAGCGCAGCAGTAGTTCTACTTGTTGGGCCGAACGCGACCATTATTAACCCGACAGGCCCACAGCGATGACATCGACCGCTCCATTTAAGACCAAAACGGGAGGAATTCTCCACAATTGTGGCCGTTGCCTAGATAGGCTTGGCTGGTTGTTGTTGTTGTTTGTGGTAATCACCGGCGAAACGTCGTGGTTACTCGTATTGTGAACGTCTTGGGTTGTTTTTTACTCTCCGACACACACATACAATCGGTGTGCCAAACTATCAAATCTACAATCGGCACGTCTTGTTTACGCGGGCGAACCTCGCCAAATTGTCCGTGACGGGCGGCGGCGGGTTTAACGGCACACTTATAATAATAATTCTTTGTTTTTTTATATTCACTTTCACCGGTGGCGTTTTGGTAAGTCGTTCCCCCCCCGCTCTCTCTCTGCCGTACGCGAATGCACGAATCCCACCCACCCCACCCCCCGCGTACACAACGCGCGCCGGCTGGACTGCAGCAAGCGGCCTAAACAGCGCCGCCCCGGTTTCTTAAATGCCGGCACTATTGCACATTGCCGTTTGCCCTTGAGGTTGTCCTGAACGCGTTTCAGCTCCCGCTCCCTCGAGCAGCGCGTTTCACTTCGTTTCTCTTGGTCCATTCATACCGACAACAGAGGGGGAGCGGGGAGCGAACAGTTTTAGTTCTTTTTAGTTAAGTTGCAGAGGGCAACCGCGCGATCAAACGCGCCTCCCCCCCCCTTCACGTTATCCAATTATGGTGCGAGAGACAATCGCGCGAGCGTGCGCGCACCTCCTTTGCCGCTCGACAGCAACACCCGCCCCCTGCCTTCTGGCACACGCACGTGCACGCACGCGGATGTTAAACAAACCCCTCCGGTGCCCGATCAGTGCCGCTACAAGGATGCGACCACGGCACGCATCGCCGATTAGATGGAAAAGTTTTGGCTTTTTTTTGCGTTCGTTAAACATTTGGTGTCAAATCGACGGAAAAAAACCATACATTTTGCAGCAGCGGTGGCGTGTAGGTGGAATTAGCCTCAACAGCTACTGAGCACGCACGCGGGACACCGTGGGGTCCGGGCTGGCGCTAGGGTAGGCCCTGCACCACCAAATGTCACCAAAGATCACTCCTCTCCTAAGCGGCGTATCACGATTCCGTTGCCCCCCCTAATCCTCACTCGGCAGCCCTACTGGCCCCCCCAAACCACTCCTGCGTCCAATAGCAAGTCGTCGCGAGTGCAGTGGTCGGGAGTCGCCGCGGCGAGCACGGCCGCTGCGTTTTAAAACACAGAACACGCTCGCGGTGGGAGCGGAGGGCGCCGGGCACCGTCGTCCCGTACTGGCCGCGTCCTGGAGCTGCTCGCTCCCGAGTGGCGGCGAGCACTCGGACGGCTTTGGGAAGAGGAGCGGTGGTGTTAGGGCTGAGAGGCCCGTGACCTCGAGGTCGATTCCTGGCCATGCTGAACACGTGATGAGCGACGCGTGAACCATGGTGAACACGTGACGAGCGATGCGTGAACCATGGTGAACACGTGACGAGCAACACACGAACCGTGGTGAACACGTGACGAGCGACGCGTGAACCGTGGTGAACACATGACGAGCGACACGTGAACCATGGTGAACACGTGACGAGCGACGCATGAACCGTGGTGAACACGTGACGAGCGACACATGAACCATGGTGAACACGTGACGAGCGACGCATGAACCGTGGTGAACACGTGACGAGCGACGCATGGACCGTGGTGAACACGTGACGAGCGACGCATGAACCGTGGTGAACACGTGACGAGCGACACATGAACCGTGGTGAACACGTGACGAGCGACACACGAACCGTGGTGAACACGTGACGAGCGACACATGAACCGTGGTGAACACGTGACGAGCGACACACGAACCGTGGTGAACACGTGACGAGCGACGCATGAACCGTGGTGAACACGTGACGAGCGACACATGAACCATGGTGAACACGTGACGAGCGACGCGTGAACCGTGAACACGTGACGAGCAACACACGAACCGTGGTGAACACGTGACGAGCGACGCATGAACCGTGGTGAACACGTGACGAGCGACGCATGAACCGCTTCCTGGCTTCCTCCGACAACTTCATCAGCCCGCACTGACCGGCGTGGTGGTAAAGTATCGTCAAACCGGCGTGGATTGACAAGGCTGAAAGTAAAAAATAATCAAGCAATAAGCAACAGACGCAAAGAGCCATGGGAAAGATTGGAGCTTGAAACGAATAGAATTTGTCATCATAAAATGTACAAGCACCCAAAGGTTTTAGGTTCAAGCGACGTGATGTTGGACTCCAGTCCCAGTTGGGGCTAAGCCTAAAAAAAACAGCTCCAAGTTATTCAAGAGACGTTTTTTGTTTTCCTCCCACCAGCCAAGATCCCACAGCCTTTCATTGAGCCGGAGTTCACCAACTCCTCTTGGGCACCAACGAAGACCCGATGTGAATCTACGACCGTGACGTTACCGTCATTATTGTTTCCCTTCGAGTGTTTTTATCACGGCGACCGGAACACTGAAATGAGAGAGTGGTCGGTGTGACCCGACGCGAGAAAGACGGTTCGCGCTCGCTCAACGGAACCCTCGGCAGACGGCTCCAGGCAGACTCGCAAGTGTGAGTGTGTCTGTGTGCAAGTGCGAGTGTGTCTGTGTCTGTGTGCGAGTGTGTCTGTGTGTGAGTGTGTCTGTGTACGAGTGTCTGTGTGCGAGTGTGTCTGTGTGCGAGTGTGTCTGTGTGCGAGTGTGTCTGTGTGTGTGTGTCTGTGTGCGAGTGTGTCTGTGTGTGTCTGCGAGTGTGTCTGTGTGTGTGTCTGTGTCTGTGTGCGAGTGTGTGTGTGTCTGTGTGCGAGTGTGTCTGTGTCTGTGTGCGAGTGTGTCTGTGTGCGAGTGTGTCTGTGTGCGAGTGTGTCTGTGTCTGTGTGCGAGTGTGTCTGTGTGCGAGTGTGTCTGTGTCTGTGTGCGAGTGTGTCTGTGTCTGTGTGCGAGTGTGTCTGTGTGCGAGTGTGTCTGTGTCTGTGTGCGAGTGTGGGGAGCGGTAGCGTGGCGGTTAGCGCTGCGCTGCACTACCAACCCGGCGACCCGAGTTCGATTCCCGCTCACGGCCAACGCCGGTCACGATTATCTGAACCGGTCCTGGGCCTCCCCTAGGTCGACTCGGCCTCAAATGAGTACCTGGTGCGGCGTGTAAAACATCACGACTGGGGAGACAAAGACGGTCGAGCCACCCATACCCTGGTGTGCCAGTGCCGGCCTTCAAAGGTGCTCGCTAACAGCACTTGCCCCAACAATCTGTTGAGGCTATACGGGGATCTTTGTCTTTGCTCAGTGGGCACATCACGCGTCAAGGGATCCCCTCCATCAGTTTTAATTTTAATTTCCTGAACATCCCTCGGAGTGCCAATGTCTGCACAGTCATTCCCCGCCCCCCCCCCCCCCCCCAACACTTAAAATACATCAACAGCAGTGACGGCGGCAGTGGCGAGATGTTAACTACCTCGCCAGGTATACAGGAGATCGTGGGTTCGATCCCTGACCCCTGACGCCTGCTGTGCATTTGGAGTTTGCGGTGTCTCTCTCTCTCTCTCTGCCCGTGGTCGCCTGGATTTATCTCCGGCTCCCGTGCTTTTTCCCTCCTCCGCATTTATAATCGACATCGCCGCGTGTTTTTAGAGTATTCGGCTGCGATTCATTTCGACGCGGGGCTGGGCTCGTGTAAGACCCACGGCAGCTAGTCGTGAAGGAAATCCTGACGGCTTGATTTTAATTAATTACTATCAAAAGGTTTTACTTACTCGCTATCAAAAGGTTTTAATTACTCGCTATCAAAAGGTTTTACTTACTCGCTATTAAAAGGTTTTAATTACTCGCTATCAAAAGCCGGCGGCGGCACTGCAGCGAGTACAATGTTGTCGCAGGCCGCGTTATTCGTGTTGCCGAGCGTCAGTTTCCACTCTGCAGGTGTAACGAACGAAACCGCTTCGCCGTCGTCTGCAATTTGGAGGGACGAATGCACTGGGGCCTCTAAGATTGAGCCGACGTGTCCCGGCGTCGATGTTGTAATTGCCTGCGCACAGAGAGGAAGAAAACCAAAAATCGATAAGGGGGCCTTGGGGCCGAAACACCCCCCCCCCCCCCAGCCAAACCACACAGAGGGGAATCGCTGTCACGGGCATCACAACTAATGACGAACGAATATCTCACGTCGTCGTTTATAAGGCGCTTCGAGTCAATCTCCCGTGAAGCTATTCACCGCAGGCCCGGTCTCGGATCGACGTTTCGTAAACCATATCACGACCAGCGTACGGACCGATGCTCCGCCTATTTGTTTCAGACTGCCTCGAGGTTGAAAACGATTTCCCACTTTCCGGAACGTGGCCCCAATGCTGACGGTTTTTTGTTCACCTGCAACTACTCAATTGGGAGCCACGCGAGTAGAGTAGCAGCAACGTCACCCGGCACCGCGGACACCTGAAACTTGGTCGCATGTTCCACACCCCAACCCCGCACCTCCCCTTACCACGGCTGGCGACGTGCGGTGATGCGGAGCAAGTCCAATGTACGTACGCACGCACACGTGCCGACCAATCCTCTCACCCCCCCTCGCTAAAAAATCCTGACTTTGAGGTGACTTTGGCCGAGTTTGGGTCACAGCGGCGGGGAGGAGGGGGGGGGACGAGACGCTGGAGGGCGCAAAGCACGGACAGAAGAGAGCGTGGCAGGAGCACCGAGAGAGAGACGTGGACTGCTCCCCTCCCTGTCAAGAATTCACCACACCGACGAAGACCGACCGAGATGACATTTAACGCGCCACCGACCCGGACATCGGACGCCGCCGCCCCCCCCCACCGACGCTGGATACGACGAACCCCCCAGTCCAGTACCACATCCGCCTCGCCGTCGCAACTCGGAGGAGGGGCCACCGCTGGGGGAGCGTGGCCTCGCTCGCGCACCCAGCGAGCGTCTCTCCCATGCCGGCTACCACCCCACGGCGTCCCAGGCGTCTTGCTCCTCAGCCTTGGCTGCCCGCTTGCTGCTGCTGCTGTCGACGGCTCCCCCACCTCCTCCTGCGTCGCCGCCAGCGCCGTCGTTCGCTTTGCTCTTCTCCTTCTTCCCGACGTCCCAGCCGGAATCCCAGGAGGCATCCCAGCTGTCCTGCCGGCGTGGATCGCCGGCACCGCCGCCGCCGCCGCCCCTGCCGCCACCGCCACCGCCCCTGCCGCCCTTCTTGTCGTCTTGCTCCTGGAGAAAGAGAGTCGCGCGGAACACCGGGGGGCCGTGAACTTCCGTCGAAAGGAAAAACAAAGTTGTTACCGCTTGAAGTCAAAGGAAATCCCGCCCGAGCGGACGTCCACCGCAGAGGTGGAGCAACAGAGTGGGACTCGTGTGCCGGAGGTGGATGGATGGATCGTCTCATCGCGATGACGTGATGGAAGACAATGGCCTTCAGCGGTGGGTTCATCGTGGCTGGCGACGATTTACGCCGCGGTGGCTAGAACATGTTGACTACCTCGCCTGGTATAGAGGAGGTCGTGGGTTCGATCCCGACCCTGACGCCTGCTGCTGTATAACTGGAGCTTGCGTGTCGCTCTCTCTCTCTCCGTGGTCGCGTGGATATTTCTCCAAGTCCTCCGGTTTTTCCTTCCACGTTGAGAATCAACGTCACGGGATCTCGAGTATGTGGCTGCTCTAAATGTCCACGTGACGATGAGCCACTTCCGTGTGGGCTACCATTTGTGCTCGCCAGGTCGCTTCTGACAAAAGAGCTACATAGCTCAGTGGGGGCCTTACCCGGTGAAACTAAAATAGTTTCTAGTTTTTCCAGGGACTCATCGACTTGCGAACTTTCACAATTAGAATCGACGTCACGCGTTTAGAGTATATTGGCTACTGCTAGAAATGTCCACGTGATGACGATGATGATAATCTCACTTTCGTAGAACTATAATTTGTGATAACCAGCTTTACCTGGTGAAATAAAATAGTTTAAATAGTTTTAGTTTATCCACGGGCCAGGCGGTGAGGCCCTCTTGTGACCGGTCGCGATATTCCACGTGAGCAGCCGCTCGTTGGGTTTTTGTGGAAAGCAACCAGAGGAAAAACATAATAATAATAATAATCGGTGTTTACCCTTTCTGGCAATGAAACAGGAGTTGTGTTCAGATGTTTAAACACCAAACAGAAACCTCTCGCAAGGCATCAAGTACCGCGTTAACCACACGCGGCGCTTGTGGTGAACATGCAAACAAAACAAGCTCTGATAATAACAGATGGCGTTGTCTTTGAAACCGATTGGCCTTGTATCACTACCAGTGTCAGACCAGAGAATACCAAAACAATACAAAGCCAATGCAAGTATCGGCATTTGTAGGTTGGGGTGAGCGGGGATTGTGTCTGCTGCCATCGCGTGCCAACGCTCGGAAAAAGGAAATAAACGTGCGCAATTGCTAGGATTCATGCCCCCACAATATTCCACGAAGGAAAATGATTGGGCAAGCGAGTGGGTTAGTGAGTGGGTGAGCGAGATGGTGAGCGGGTGAACGGGCGGGCGAGCTGGCGAGCGAGCTGGCGAGCGAGCTGGTGAGCGAGTGAGCTGGTGAGCGAGCTGGTGAGCGGGCTGGTGAGTGAGCTGGCGGGCGAGCGGGCGAACTGGTGAGCGAGCTGGTGAGCTGGCAGGCGAGCGGGTGAGCTGGTGAGCGAGCTGGTGAGCGAGCTGGTGAGTGAGCTGGCGGGCGAGCGGGCGAGCTGGTGAGCGAGCTGGTGAGCGAGCTGTTGAGCGAGCGGGCGAGTGAGCTGGTGAGTGAGCTGGTGCACTTGGCTCATGACTGCGGCTTGGTGGTGCAGAGGTGAGCGCATAGCGATACGAATCCGTCGATCCGAGTTTGAGTCTCGCTCACGGGCACAAAAAAACAGTGGCAGCGAATATAAAACAACGTCTCCTAATGGCCAGTGTTTAAATCGGCACGTGAATCGTTACACTGTGGCAACCCCCCTACTCCACCTTCGATAATCACGAAGCATTCCTCCTTATTTAACTCGTATTCAAAGCGAAAATGATCAAATGTTGCTGGCACAGTGCACTGCGGGGAAATGGTGGCGTGAGTACTGCACCGCCCGGCCAATCCGAGTTCGAGTCCCGCTCACGGCCGATACCGCTGACTATTATCTGTAACCTGGGCTTCCTCCCCTAGGTCGACTCAGCCTCAAATAAGTACCTGGTGCGGTGTGTAGTAAACATCAACACCAAGGAGACAAAGGTGGCCCGGGTGTGGTGCTGGCCACCCACCACCTTGTGTGCCGTGCCGGCCTTCACAGGGACTCGCTAACAGCACTTGCACCAAGTCTGTTACAGGCTATAAGGGGGATCTTTGTCATTGGGGAGCCGTGGCGCAGCAGTTAGCGCTGCGCTACGAACCCGGCCGACCCGAGTTCGATTCCTGCTCACGGTCAACACCGGTGATGATTATCTGCAACCGGTCCTGGGCTTCCCCTAGGTCAACTCGGCCTTAAATGAGTACCTGTGCAGTGCCAGCCTTCACGGGTGCTACTCGCTAACAGCACTTGCCCCCAGCAGTCTGTTGCAGGCTCCAGAGTGGGGGATTATCTCGGTGGTTGAGGCCTGGCACTTACCGCGCCCCAGCCGTCCCAGCCGTCCTGCGTCCGCGCTGCGCTGTGCTCGCTCACAAAGTCCCAGTTGTCGATGTCAGCCGCTGGCGCCCCGGCCTGCGACTCGTGCCCAAAGTCATCCCAGAAGGTCCCGTCAGCGCACTTCCTGCTGTTCTGTGCCGCTGTGTCGCTATTGGTGGGGGGGGGGGGGGGTGGTGGGGTGAAAGAGGGGGGGGGGCGGTGATTGAAAAGTTGCACAGCTGCTCCAGTGGCTTCCTAATGTCGGAAGGAAGAGCGTTCCAGACGGCCGCATCATTATCACCAACACCATCATGTATGTGAACCGCACGCAGCCAACCGTGCTGATCGGAGGTGCGGGGAGAAGGACCACAAACTAAACACACAAATCAGTTGTAAAGAAATGAGTTCTTCAATGGAGGCCGCTGTGGGTTACCCCTCTCGGTGTGGCGAGTCGACTCCGGGCAGCGTCTCGTGGCCCTGTCTCCCCGACCACAGGTTCGACACCTCCCTCCAGCCCTTGGCTCCCACGTCCTGCATCTGGGGGATTGGCACCGATGGGGATTGCAGAGAGAGAGGGGTCAAGTTAACAATTTGTAGAGGGTGCGCGTGCACGCGCGTGTGTGTGTATTAACCCTTTTTAGCCCGCTCCAATGACGTGCGTTGTACGTCACCCCGGTTTTTCTTCAGATTCTATTCTGATTTACGTTCGTTTACCGTCATCGGAACGGCATTGGAAGTAAAGAGGTCTCGTGTGTGTACGTGCGTATGTGTGCCCGTATGTGTGCGCGTGTGTGTGTGTATGCGTGTGCGTGCGGCACAGTTTTGACGCCGGCTATCGTAGAGTGGCGGCGGCCGTGTGGCTACTTGCCATCCCTGTAGTCGGCGTACATTTAGAGCAGCAGCCAAATAGGCGTCACGTCCATTCTAAATGTGTGGAGGGAAAAACCCGGAGGACCCAGAGAACAATCCACGCGACCGCGGCGAGAGATGCAAACTCCAAATATACAGCAGCCACCGTGGCGCACCGGGATAAAACTCACTCACCACCACCACCAGCAGCAGCAGCAGCGTCACGACGGACAGTGCCGTGTTTGCGAGCAGAACGGGCGAGACAAAGCAGAAGACATGGGGGGGGGGGTAGGGTTAGTGGTGGGGGGCTGGAGGGCAATGCCGGGAGGAGGAGTCTCTGCACGAAAGGCCTCCTGAGAGCCGGAGGATGCGTTCCTCGTTACGTTGTGATTGGCTGTTGTGATTGGCTGTTGTGGTTGGCTGTTGTGATTGGCTGTTGTGATTGGCTGTTGTGATTGGCTGTTGTGGTTGGCTGTTGTGGTTGGCTGTTGTGATTGGTGTGGTTGGCTGTTGTGGTTGGCTGTTGTGGTTGGCTGTTGTGATTGGCTGTTGTGGTTGGCTGTTGTGGTTGGCTGTTGTGGTTGGCTGTTTTTCTGCAAAAAAAAGGTCGTGGCTACCCGGGAATTTCACGCCCCCCCCCCCGCCCCCCCGCTGATGCCTTCGCCGGTGTCAAAAGCCACCCCCTCCCGCCCACCATCTACCAGACTGTTTCCTCTCATCGCTGCTTTGCGTTCACCCGCCGTGCTTGCAGGACACAGCGGGCTCATCACAACTCACTCCTGCCTCTCTCACTCCCTGCCTCTCTCACTCCCTGCCTCTCTCACTCCCTGCCTCTCTCACTCTGCCTCTCCCACTCCTGCCTCTCCTCACTCCTGCCTCTCTCACTCCCTGCCTCTCTCACTCCCTGCCTCTTCACTACCCCGCCGCTCTCACTCCCTGCCTCTCTCACTCCCTGCCTCTCCTCTCATCCCTGCCTCTCTCACTCCCTGCCTCTCCCACTCCCTGCCTCTCTCACTCCCTGCCTCTCTCACTCCCTGCCTCTCTCACTCCCTGCCTCTCCTCTCACTCCCTGCCTCTCTCACTCCCTGCCTCTCTCACTCCCCGCCGCTCTCACTCCCTGCCTCTCTCACTCCCCTGCCTCTCCTCTCACTCCCTGCCTCTCTCACTCCCTGCCCCTCTCACTCCCTGCCTCTCCTCTCACTCCTGCCTCTCTCAACTCCCTGCCTCTCTCACTCCCTGCCTCTCTTACTCCCTGCCTCTCTCACTCCCTGCCTCTCCTCTCACTCCCTGCCTCTCTCACTCCCCGCCGCTCTCACTCCCTGCCTCTCTCACTCCCTGCCTCTCCTCTCACTCCCCGCCGCTCTCACTCCCTGCCTCTCTCACTCCCTGCCTCTCCTCTCACTCCCTGCCTCTCTCACTCCCTGCCTCTCCTCTCACTCCCTGCCTCTCTCACTCCCTGCCTCTCTCACTCCCTGCCTCTCTCACTCCCTGCCTCTCCCACTCCCTGCCTCTCTCACTCCCTGCCTCTCTCACTCCCTGCCCTCTCCTCTCACTCCCTGCCTCTCTCACTCCCTGCCTCTCTCACTCCCCGCCTCTCCTCTCACTCCCCGCCGCTCTCACTCCCTGCCTCTCTCACTCCCTGCCTCTCCTCTCACTCCCTGCCTCTCTTCACTCCCTGCCTCTCTCACTCCCTGCCTCTCTCACTCCCTGCCTCTCTCCACTCCCTGCCTCTCCCACTCCCTGCCTCTCTCACTCCCTGCCTCTCTCACTCCCTGCCTCTCTCACTCCCTGCCTCTCCTCTCACTCCCTGCCTCTCTCACTCCCCGCCGCTCTCACTCCCTGCCTCTCTCACTCCCTGCCTCTCCTCTCACTCCCTGCCTCTCTCACTCCCTGCCTCTCCTCTCACTCCCTGCCTCTCTCACTCCCTGCCTCTCACTCCCTGCCTCTCTCACTCCCTGCCTCTCTCACTCCCTGCCTCTCTTACTCCCCGCCGCTCTCACTCCCTGCCTCTCCTCTCACTCCCTGCCTCTCTCACTCCCCGCCTCTCTCACTCGCCTCCCTCTCTCACTCCCTGCCTCTCTCACTCCCTGCCTCTCTCACTCCCTGCCTCTCTCACTCCCTGCCTCTCCTCTCCCTCCCTGCCTCTCCTCTCACTCCCTGCCTCTCTCACTCCCCGCCTCTCTCACTCCCTGCCTCTCCTCTCACTCCCTGCCTCTCTCACTCCCTGCCTCTCTCACTCCCTGCCTCTCCCACTCCCTGCCTCTCCTCTCACTCCCTGCCTCTCTCACTCCCTGCCTCTCCTCTCACTCCCTGCCTCTCTCACTCCCTGCCTCTCCTCTTACTCCCTGCCTCTCCTCCCACTCCCTGCCTCTCTCACTCCCTGCCTCTCCTCTCACTCCCTGCCTCTCTCACTCCCCGCCTCTCACTCCCCGCCTCTCTCACTCCCCGCCTCTCTCACTCCCCGCCTCTCTCACTCCCCGCCTCTCTACTCCCTGCCTCTCCTCTCACTCCCTGCCTCTCCCACTCCCTGCCTCTCCCACTCCCTGCCTCTCTCACTCCCGCCTCTCTCACTCCCCGCCTCTCTCACTCCCCGCCTCTCTCACTCCCCGCCTCTCTCACTCCCCGCCTCTCTCACTCCCTGCCTCTCTCACTCCCTGCCTCTCCTCTCACTCCCTGCCTCTCCCACTCCCTGCCTCTCTCACTCCCTGCCTCTCTCACTCCCTGCCTCTCTCACTCCCCGCCTCTCTCACTCCCTGCCTCTCCTCTCACTCCCTGCCTCTCCCACTCCCTGCCTCTCTCACTCCCTGCCTCTCTCACTCCCTGCCTCTCTCACTCCCCGCCTCTCTCACTCCCCGCCTCTCTCACTCCCAGCCTCTCTCACTCCCCGCCTCTCTCACTCCCTGCCTCTCCTCTCACTCCCTGCCTCTCTCACTCCCTGCCTCTCCTCTCACTCCCTGCCTCTCTCACTCCCTGCCTCTCCTCTCACTCCCTGCCTCTCTTACTCCCTGCCTCTCCTCTCACTCCCTGCCTCTCCTCCCACTCCCTGCCTCTCTCCCTGCCTCTCTCACTCCCTGCCTCTCCTCTCACTCCCTGCCTCTCCTCTCACTCCCTGCCTCTCCTCTCACTCCCTGCCTCTCTCACTCCCTGCCTCTCTCACTCCCTGCCTCTCTCACTCCCCGCCTCTCTCACTCCCTGCCTCTCTCACTCCCTGCCTCTCCTCCCACTCCCTGCCTCTCTCACTCCCTGCCTCTCTCACTCCCTGCCTCTCTCACTCCCCGCCGCTCTCACTCCCTGCATCTCTCACTCCCTGCCTCTCCTCTCACTCCCCGCCTCTCCTCTCACTCCCCGCCTCTCTCACTCCCTGCCTCTCTCACTCCCTGCCTCTCCTCTCATCCCCGCCCTTCCTCTCACTCCCTGCCGCTCTCACTCCTGCCTCTCTCACTCCCTGCCTCTCCTCTCATCCCGCCTCTCCTCTCACTCCCGCCTCTCTCACTCCCTGCTCTCTCACTCCCTGCCTTCCTCTCACTCCCCGCCTCTCCTCTCACTCCCGCCTCTCTCACTCCCTGCCTCTCCTCTCACTCCCTGCCTCTCCTCTCACCCTGCCGCTCTCTCCTAGCCCTCGCCTCTGCCTCTCACTCCCTCGCCTCTCCTCTCACTCCCCGCCTCTCCTCTCACATCCCTGCCTCTCTCTCACTCCCTGCCTCTCCTCTCACTCCCCGCCTCTCCTCTCACTCCCTGCCTCTCCTCTCACTCCCTGCCTCTCTCTCACTCCCTGCCTCTCTTCTCACTCCCTGCCCTCTCACTCTCACTCCCTGCCTCTCCTCTCACTCCCCTGGCCTCTCCTCTCCTCCCTGCCTCTCCTCTCACTCCTGCCTCTCCTCTCACTCCCGCCTCTCCTCTGCACTCCTGCCTCTTCTCACTCCCTGCCTCTCTCTCACTCACTGCCTGCTCCTCTCACTCCCTGCCTCTCCTCTCACTCCCTGCCTCTCCTCTCACTCCCTGCCTCTCCTCTCACTCCCTGCCTCTCCTCTCACTCCCTGCCTCTCCTCTCACTCCCTGCCTCTCCTCTCCTCCCTGCCTCTCCTCTCACTCCCTGCCTCTCCTCTCACTCCCATGCCTTCCTCTCACTCCTGCCTCTCCTCTCACTCCTGCCTCTCCTCTCACTCCCTGCCTCCTCTCACTCCCTGCCTCTCCTCTCACTCCCGCTCTCCTCTCACTCCCTGCCTCTCCTCTCACTCCCTGCCTCTCTCTCACTCCCTGCCTCTCCTCTCACTCCCTGCCTCTCCTCTCACTCCCCTGCCTCTCCTCTCACTCCCTGCCTCTCCTCTCACTCCCTGCCTCTCCTCACTCCCTGCCTCTCCTCTCACTCCCTGCCTCTCCTCTCACTCCCTGCCTCTCTCTCACTCCCTGCCTCTCTCACTCCCCTGCCTCTCCTCTCACTCCCTGACCTCTCCTCTCACTCCCGCCCTCTCTCACTCCCCTGCCTCTCTCACTCCCTGCCTCTCTCACTCCCTGCCTCTCCTCTCACTCCCTGCCTCTCCTCTCACTCCCTGCCTCTCCTCTCACTCCCTGCCTCTCTCACTCCCTGCCTCTCCTCTCACTCCCTGCCTCCTCTCACTCCCTGCCTCTCTCTCACTCCCTGCCTCTCCTCTCACTCCCCGCCTCTCCTCTCACTCCCCGCCTCTCTCACTCCCCGCCTCTCTCACTCCCTGCCTCTCTCACTCCCTGCCTCTCCTCTCACTCCCCGCCTCTCCTCTCACTCCCCGCCTCTCTCACTCCCTGCCTCTCCTCTCACTCCCTGCCTCTCTCACTCCCTGCCTCTCTCACTCCCTGCCTCTCCTCTCACTCCCCGCCTCTCCTCTCACTCCCCGCCTCTCTCACTCCCCGCCTCTCTCACTCCCTGCCTCTCTCACTCCCTGCCTCTCCTCTCACTCCCTGCCTCTCCTCTCACTCCCTGCCTCTCTCACTCCCTGCCTCTCCTCTCACTCCCTGCCTCTCTCACTCCCTGCCTCTCCTCTCACTCCCTGCCTCTCTCACTCCCCGCCTCTCTCACTCCCTGCCTCTCCTCTCACTCCCTGCCTCTCTCACTCCCTGCCTCTCTCACTCCCTGCCTCTCCCACTCCCTGCCTCTCCTCTCACTCCCTGCCTCTCCCACTCCCTGCCTCTCCTCTCACTCCCTGCCTCTCTCACTCCCTGCCGCTCTCACTCCCCGCCTCTCCTCCCACTCCCTGCCTCTCCTCTCACTCCCTGCCTCTCTCCCTGCCTCTCTCACTCCCTGCCTCTCCTCCCACTCCCTGCCTCTCCTCTCACTCCCTGCCTCTCTCCCTGCCTCTCTCACTCCCCGCCTCACTCCCTCCCCATGTGGACCCCCTGCCAGGACCTCCACCTCCCTCCCACCTCCCCACTTAGGGCGCAGCCACGGTGGCTAGGAGATGTCAACTACCTCGCCTGGTATGCAGGAGGTCGTGGGTATGATCCAGACCTTGACACCTGCTCTGTATAGCTGTAGTTTTCGTGTCTCTCTCTTCGTGGTCGCGTGGATTTTTCTCCGGGCGCTCCGGTTTTTCCCACCCACATTTAGAATCAACGTCACGCATTTAGAGTATTTGGCTGCGATACATTTCCACGTGATGATGATGCTGATGATGAGCCACCTTCGTTGTGCTATAACCTGTGATGGGCAGCGTCACAAAGAGCTGCATAGCTCAGTTGTGGGGCCTTAGCTGGTCAAATGAAAAATTGTAAAAATTGTTTTTTTTTTTATCCGGAAATGCGGTTTGCATTTGGACTCGCTATAAATTCCAAAATTCCAACACTCGTTTCTATTCCTCCGACCGCTCCACTTAGGAAGGCTCCCCCCCGTTGCTTTTTCCACCCTCCCCCCCCCGAGTTACCACCTGCACCTTTGAGATCGCCTCAATGAGCGCGTGAAGCTGTTCACCACCTGCTATTGTCACCCATGTCGAGACGTTCGTCAAGGAAATACAACTAATGGTCGGAGTCTCGGGTCAAGGTCCATCTTCACGACTCATCGGAGTGCTCAGAATGCCTGGCTGCTTCGCGCTCTTGCGTAGACCACCCCGGGGATGCGCGTCGCGTCCGGCGACTGTGATCACTCAACACAACGAGGGGCGAGCCTCGCTGCGAGACCTGTCTCAAGGTGACGGGGACTGGATTGAGAGCAGCACCGAGCATGGAGGCGAGAGCTCCTGGTTCGGGAGGCAAGAGCGCACCGCTCCTGGTTCGGGAGGCTAACCTCGCACCGCTTCGTTCAAGTGCAAAGTCGGCACGTGTGCGTGTGTGTGCGTACGTATGTTAGAGGGAGCGGTGGTGTAGCGGTTAGCGCTGTGTGCTGTGTTCCGAACCCAGCGAGCCGAGTTCGATTCCCGCTCACGGCTATCAACACCGGTGACGATTATCTGAATCGGTCCTAGGCCTCCCCTAGGTCGACTCAGCCTCAATTGAGTACCTGGTGCGGTGTGTAAACCATCGTCACTAGGGAGGCAAAGGCAGCCGGGCATGGTGCTGGCCACCCACCACCCACTCGTGTGCTGTGCCGGCCTTCGTAGGTGCTGCTCGCTAACAGCACTTGCCCCAACAGTCTGTTAAGACTACACGGGGGTGGGGGGGCGGGGCTTTGTCTTTGTATGTCGAACTTCTTTGGCACGACGTAGCCAACCGTGCTACATCGGAGGTGCGTGGGGGGGGATAATTAAAATTACCCAAGACGGGAACTGAGCGAGGGAACCATACTAACGAGACGGTAAACAATTAAATTACAAAATATAATCGCAACGCCGAACCGTGACGATTAACCAAATTTCTTGGAGAGGCGTGGGTGATAGTTTTCACAAGGCAACGTGTTTAACGTGTTCACGGTGGGGTTACGGGGTTGCGGTTAATGGTTCAGGAGTTTTCGGTTAGTAATTTTTAGGGTATCGGTCAGTATTTGAGAAATTATCGGTCGGTCATGCAGGATAAAGTAGTCCCTCGGTTGACGGTAACATCATCGGTTAACGTTTCTCCTCCCCGTCATGACCCCGCCTGCCCACCAACCATGGTTTTCGACCGCCGTTAACATTCCGACCGCTGGCGACGCGTTCACGCGACGCCAGCGGTCGCGCCAATTCCAGCCAATCAGAGCCGCTCGTTAAGTGGGGGCTGCTAAGCCCTCACAGCCAATCGGCGGCTTCCCCCGTTCACGGGCGTTTAGACCTCGGGCTTGGCTTCAGTTGACATTACGTTTATCCCCCAGTGGACCACGGCTACTCTTGCAGACTCGTGGTGAATTCCTCCGCACATTTCGAGCGACAGGTTACAGCGGGCCTCGTCGGACGGATTAAGAAATAAAAACCGTTGACCGAGGGACTGCCGTAACCGTACCGGTTGTACGGACGCAAGACTCGGGCGCGGAGACGGCGCTGGTTAGTTTTAGTGGGTCTCGGGGGGTTTAAGCGTCCACGGCTTTCGTTCGGGGGGGGGGAGGGGGGGTGGGGGAGCCGACGTGGGTGCTCGTGACCGACTGCGCGCCGCCCTCCCGGATACCTTGGTGGCCAGGTGTGAGACCGACGACGACACGTCGTCCAGAATCTTGCCGTCCTTAACCTACAGTATACATGCACGTGGCCGTCATGCAACAGCACACACAACACACAAAGACAAACACACAAAAAGACACGCGCACACAAAACATGCAAAAACACAAGCACACAAAGACGCTCCCCCGCCGTGTAGCCTTTGACAAGGCTATCGCGGCAAGTGCTGTTGGTGAGCATCGAAACTGTATTTCTTTTTTTACCCGGTAAGGCCCCACCACTGAGCAGCTGTGTGGTTCGTATTCAGAAGCGACCCTGGACCATTGCTCAACGAAATTGGCTTAACCCCAACCATCATCATCATCATCATTGTCGTCGTCGCATGTAAATTTAGTGGCCAAATACTTTCTAAACGTGCCCGACGTTGATTCTAAATGTGAAAGAGAAAAACCGGAGGGCCCGGAGAACAATCCACGTGACCACGGGGAGAGAGAGAGCGACATGCAAGCTCCAATTATACAGCAGGCGTCAGGGTCGGGATCAAACCCACGACCTCCTGTAGACCAGACGAGGTAGTTAACATCTCCTAGCCACGGTGATGATGATGAGAGACACACAAACTCCAAATATACAGCAGGCGTCAGGGTCGAGGTTAAACCCACGATATCCTGTATACCAGGCGAGATAGTTAACATCTCCTAGCCACCTATTGCCAGTGCGCTACGAACCAGGCATTTGGAGGTCAATTCTCGGGCACGGCTTGCATCAGTGGCGAGAGGCAATTATTTATTATATATATAAAATCAACCCGTCCTGGGCCTCCCATTTAGGTCAATTCAGCTTTAACCCAGATGCTGGAGCGGTGTTTAAATCATCAGCGCTGGGGATAGACGGAGGCAGCCAGACACGCTATAAACCACACCCCACCACCCTTTTCGTGGATTGTGTGCGGCCTTAATAGGTGCTCACTAACACGTGCGGGCCCGCACATGCATGCACGCACGCCGACTTGCGCATGCCGAACGGTACGGGACACAGGCCAAGGTGACGGGTGTTTTGGCCGCAAGGCATCATGGGAATCCCCCATGATGCCTTGCACCGCCGAAGTGAACGAACGCACGCACACACCCCGCCGTGTTTTAAAATGAAACCACGGAGCCTCCAAACAGCAAATCGCTTTTACAGGCGGCCGTTTTGAGCGTTGCCCTCGGCAAAGCGATGTGACAGTCGCGTGAGCAAGCTTCGCCCCCCGTTGGGGATGGTCGGCGCGGGCGAGGCCTGCAGCGCGACCGCCACGCTCTGCGGCCGTGCGCCGTCGCCCCCCTGGATCCACGCGACGACGCTGCTGCTCGCGAACGCCGAGTGGGTCGCCACCCCTCGGCCGAGTTCACCTTTTTCTTATTTTAATTACTTTTACCGGGCGACACCTGGCCACCATCACAAACAATAGCTCGGCGAAGTGGCTTATCATCATCGTGTGGAAATATTTAGCGGCCAAATAATCTTAAACGCGTGAAGGTGGTTCTCAATGTGAAAGGGAAAAACCGGAGGTCCCGGGCAAAAATCCACGCGACTACGGGGAGAGAAAGAAAACACACAAACTCCAAATACACAGCAGCAGGTGACAGGGTTGGGATCGAACCCCACGGCCTCCTGTAGACGAGGCGAGGGAGTTAACATCCCACCACACAGTCACCTTGTCTGTCGCAGGCTTGATGATGTTATCACTCATCGTCTGGCTTAGCTCAGATGCCTGTGGGATGGGGGGGAGGGGAGGAGAGGGAGGAGAGGAAGGGTGGGAAGGAGGGAGAGAGGGAGGATTTATTGGTCAACCACCTGCCTTCTGGACGTACTTGCGGTAACGCGTCAGCCGCCGATGATACCGGAGCGAGAGGCCAAAGGTCATGGGGCTTCGACGAGAACCATCGGCGTGCGACGAATCGCGTGGACCCAGTTAAGCGTGGAAGCGTAGAGCGAGGGAAGGGTCGGGGGGGGGGGGTGTCACGTTCAGATGGAGCGGCTCGGGTAGATACACACGGCGGTGACAGGTAGGGGAATACAGCGACTCCTCTACTTACGCACATTTGACTTAACATATTCCTCTACTTACGACCATTTTAAATAACATACTCCGCTACTAACGAATACTCGACTTAACACACTCTACTTACGAATGGTCGACTTAACAGACTACTTTGTTTACGAACATTCGACTTTCAGAGAAACGAACAAGCCTGTCCCGTATGTCTGTTCACTGCTTGGACCGAGAGTCGTAAGGTCAACCGCTGCGCATTAGATGGCGGTGGTGGCATCTACATCTGCAGAACGTGAAGAACCAGTGGCATCTACATCTGCAGAACGTGAAGAACCAGTGGCATCTACATCTGCAGAACGTGAAGAACCAGTGGCATCTACATCTGCAGAACGTGAAGAACCAGTGGCATCTACATCTGCAGAACGTGAAGAACCAGTGGCATCTACATCTGCAGAACGTGAAGAACCAGTGGCATCTACATCTGCAGAACGTGAAGAACAGTGGCATCTACATCTGCAGAACGTGAAGAACCAGTGGCATCTACATCTGCAGAACGTGAAGAACCAGTGGCATCTACATCTGCAGAACGTGAAGAACCAGTGGCATCTACATCTGCAGAACGTGAAGAACCAGTGGCATCTACATCTGCAGAACGTGAAGAACCAGTGGCATCTACACCTACAGAACGTGAAGAACCAGTGGCATCTACATCTGCAGAACGTGAAGAACCAGTGGCATCTACATCTGCAGAACGTGAAGAACCAGTGGCATCTACATCTGCAGAACGTGAAGAACCAGTGGCATCTACTCTGCAGAACGTGAAGAACCAGTGCATCTCATCGGGCAGAACGTGAAGAACCAGTGGCATCTACATCTGCAGAACGTGAAGAACCAGTGGCATCTACATCTACAGAACGTGAAGAACCAGTGCATCTACATCTGCAGAACGTGAAGAACCAGTGGCATCTACATCTGCAGAACGTGAAGAACCAGTGGCATCTACATCTGCAGAACGTGAAGAACCAGTGCATCTACATCTGCAGAACGTGAAGAACCAGTGGCATCTACATCTACAGAACGTGAAGAACCAGTGGCATCTACATCTGCAGAACGTGAAGAACCAGTGGCATCTACAATCTACAAAGAACCAGTGGCATCTACATCTGCGCGGAACAGAAGAACCAGTGGCATCTACACCTACAGAACGTGAAGAACCAGTGGCATCTACATCTGCAGAACGTGAAGAAACCAGTGGCATCTACATCTGCAGAACCGTGAAGAACCAGTGGCATCTACATCTGCGGAAACATGAAGAACCAGTGGCATCTACATCTCAGAACGTGAAAAACCAGTGGCATCTACATCTACAGAACGTGAAGAACCAGTGGCATCTACATCTGCAGAACCGTGAAGAAACCAGTGGCATCTACATCTGCAGAACGGAAGAACCAGTGGCATCTACATCTGCAGAACGTGAAGAACCAGTGGCATCTACATCTACAGAACGTGAAGAACCAGTGGCATCTACATCTGCGGAACATGAAGAACCAGTGGCATCTACATCTGCAGAACATGAAGAACCAGTGGCATCTACATCTGCAGAACGTGAAGAACCAGTGGCATCTACATCTACAGAACGTGAAGAACCAGTGGCATCTACATCTGCAGAACGTGAAGAACCAGTGGCATCTACATCTACAGAACGTGAAGAACCAGTGGCATCTACATCTGCGGAACATGAAGAACCAGTGGCATCTACATCTGCAGAACATGAAGAACCAGTGGCATCTACATCTGGAGAACATGAAGAACCAGTGGCATCTACATCTGCAGAACATGAAGAACCAGTGGCATTGACAGCTACAAAACGTGAAGAACCAGTGGCATCTACATCTACAGAATGGGAAGAACCAGTGGCATCTACAGAACATGAAGAACCAGTGGCATCTACACCTACAGAACGTAAAGAACCAGTGGCATCTACATCTGCAGAACATGAAGAACCAGTGGCATCTACATCTGGAGAACATGAAGAACCAGTGGCATCTACATCTGCAGAACATGAAGAACCAGTGGCATCGACAGCTACAGAACATGAACCAGTGACATCTACATCTGCAGAACATGAAGAACCAGTGGTATCTACATCTGCAGAACGTGAAGAACCAGTGGCATCTACATCTACAGAATGGGAAGAACCAGTGGCATCTACAGAACGTGAAGAACCAGTGGCATTTACATCCACAAAACATGAAGAATCAGTGGCATCTACATCTACAGAAGGTGAATAACCAGTGGAATATACATCTGCAGAACATGAAGAGCCAGTGGCATCTCATATACAGAACTTGAAGAACCAGTGGCATATACATCTACAGAATATGAAGAACCAGTGGCATCTACAGAACGTGAAGAACCAGTGGCATCTACAGAAGGTGAAGAACAAATGGCATGTATATCTGCAGAACATGAAGAATCAGTGGCATCTACAGAACGTGAAGAACCAGTGGCATCTACATCTACAGAACATGAAGAATCAGTGGCATCTACATCTACAGGAGATTATGCAACTTTTAAAGCCATTCCCCGTGTTTAGTGTACACGCCGTACAACACGTTTGGATTCGACAGGAGTAAAGTTGGACTTACAAACAAATCGACTTACGAACAGACCTCTGGAACCCACCTCGTTCGTAAGTAGAGGAGTCCCTGTATTTATCTGGCTGGGATCATGATTTCGGCCCGACGTTATTCAGCTCTCGTAGAGGGGTGAAGGTCGTGTCGCTACGGTTCCCCGCGGTGAGTAATTACGCCTGTTAAAAACAACGGCGCTGCTGCTGCTGCTGTTGCTGCTGCTGCGCCTCTCTAAATGAAACACCACGCTGTGAACCGCACCCGCGAGGTCCGAGAGTCAGAGACGGCACGTGACGGGCGACCCCCTGCGACCCCCCCCCCCCCCCGCCTCACTGCGGCTTCGACGGGGGCCCACAATGTGTGTCGTTAAGAGTGGAATTTCACACAACCCTCTCTCTACCATCTCTCCGTCTCTGTCTCTTTCTCTACCATCTCTCCGTCTCTCTCTCTTTCTCTACCATCTCTCCGTCTCTCTCTCTCTCCTCTCTCCGTCTCTTTCCCCTCCACTCCCTCGCTCTCTACCTGCCCGCCTACCCTTGTGACCGAAGAAAATAAGCGTTTTATTTATATTTGCCACAGGCACTATATTGAATGGATTTGCGTCATTCTTACGATTAATGTAAAGGCCCTATTTACGCGAGAGATGGGGAGCGGTGGTGCAGCAGTTAGCGCGCTGCGCTATGAACCCGGCAATCCGGGTTCGATTCTCACTCACGGCCAACACCAGTGACGATTATCTGCACCGGTCCTGGGCCTCCCCTAGGTCGACTCAGCCTCAAATTAGTACATGGTGTGGTGTGTTAATATCGCCACTGGGGAGATAAAGGCGTTCGGGCGTGATGCTGGCCACCCACCCCCTCGTGTGCCATGCAGGCCTTCACAGGTGCTCGCTAACAGCACTTGCCCCAACAGTCTGTTCAGGCTACACGCTCAGAGCGAGCACCTATGATCTTTGTCTTTTTTTATATGTGTGTGTATGTGTGTGTGTGTGTATATGTGTATGTGTGTATGTGTGTGACGGGAAAGGTCCTGGCAAGGATTATTCAACATCGCCTTGCTAGGCACGCTGAGGAGAGGCTTGCGGAGCCCCAATGCGGTTTCAGGAAAGGGCGGTCCTGCACAGATGCCATATTTTCTGTCCGTCTGCTACAGCAGAGGTGTAGGGAATTCCAAAAAGACCTACATCTCTGCTTTATTGACCTGGTCAAGGCCTATGATACCATCAGTAGGACTGGGCTCTGGGTTGTTCTTCGTGCTTTTGGAGTACCTGACCCTCTGCTCACGATCATTAAGGACCTTCATGATAGTGAGTGGGCCCGGGTAAAACTACGTGGCCGGGATTCGGAGCCTTTCCCTGTACACCTTGGGGTGCGACAGGGATGTCCTCTGGCTCCCACATTATTTAACATCTATTTTGACCGCGTAGTTCGTGAAGCCTTCAATAGCTGTACCGGGGGAATTTCCATTTGGTACAGATATAATGGGAGGCTGATCGATGCCCGGGTGCGATCAAGGGATGGCTCCCTATTGGTCAACCACGTTATGTATGCCGATGATTTGGTAATAGCTGCTCATTCAGAAGAGGAGTTGGAGACGCTGCTGCTGAGACTGGAGTGTGCCACTAAGAGGTGGGGCCTTACCATCAGCCCCACCAAAACTAAGCACCTGCCTGGGTATTTTGTACCATCGGACACTCCACCCCCACAACTCCCAATTGGTGATGGGGCAGTTGTGGAGAGAGTGGAGAGTTTCCCATACCTGGGCAGTGTGCTTATGACCGGCTCCAGTTTATCAGCAGAGGTCTCACTCCGAATCAGTCGAGCGGCAATATCTTTTCATCGGTTGTGTAACGCTGTGTGGAAGCTACCTGGTCTGTCGCTCCGCACGAAGCTTCAGGTCTTCTCGGCCACGGTCATTCCCTCCCTTCTCTACGCTTGCGAAACGTGGACCCCCCTAGCGGAGCATCTTCGCCGGTTGGAAACATTTAGGCTGGCCTGCCTACGATCCATCCTGGGTTTAACCAGGCTGGATTGTGTGAGGAGCTCACAAATCCTTGAAAGATCTGGCCAAAGTCCCATCAGTGAGCTCCTCCGGCAGGCAAGGCTACGTTGGCTGGGTCATGTAGCCCGCATGCCCAGCCACCGCATGCCTAAACAGCTTTTGTTCGGCCGGATCGAGGGGGCTAAACGGGCGCGGCACGGGCTAGAGAAGAGATGGAGTGATGTGGTACAGGAGGACGTGGAGCTGAGTGGACTTGCCGATGACTGGTACCAGCGGTGTCAAGATCGGCCTCAGTGAAGGAGGCTCGTGAAGGACGCTACTGGGCAGTTGGAGGCAGTCGCCCTCCAACAACAACGGAGGGCGGAGGAGCGACGCTCACAACAACGAGCGGAGCGCCGGGTGGCTAAAGCACAGCAAGTTGGTACAGTAGGGGGCACAGGTGGTGCATCAGCCAGTCATTTCGGTCATCTTGGTCAGTCGACCCGTGGCACCTGGGTCTGCCCCGTGACCTCCTGCCGGCGGGCGTTCGACATTTCACGTGGCCTCAAGGTGCACTTGACCTGGCACAAGCGTCGTGGTGACGTCACCGCCACTTAAGTGGCGAATGGCGGTTGTTGTTGTTGTATGTGTGTGTGTATGTGTGTGTGTATGTGTGTGTGTATGTGTGTATGTATGTGTGTGTATGTGTGTATATGTGTGTGTATATGTGTGTATGTGTGCGTGTCGTGTTACCGGATCCTTGTTGCCCCACAGCTGCCGTCCGGTGAGAGCGTGCGGGGGGCGGGTGGCACACGGTCACCGTTAAACAACGCCGGCAAGCGCCGGTGACACAAACAACAACAACAACTGCTGCAGTTGTTGTTGCGTTGTATCTCCGGCAAGCGCGGCGACACAACAACATGGGTGCTAGTCACTAACAGCACTTGCCCCAACAGTCTGTTTAGGCTACACAGTGGAGCTTTGTCTTTGTTTGTCTTTGTATGTGTTGTTTAACTTTCGCACTGCACGTAGCCAACCGCGCTAATCGAAGGTGCAGTGTTGAGTCGTTGGGCAGTGTTGAGTCTATGTGCAGTGTTGAGTGTATGTGCAGTGTTGAGTCTATGTGCAGTGTTGAGTCTATGGGTAGTGTTGAGTCTATGTGCAGTGTTGAGTCTATGTGCAGTGTTGAGTCTATGTGCAGTGTTGAGTCTATGGGTAGTGTTGAGTCTATGGGCAGTGTTGAGTCTATGGGCAGTGTTGAGTCGTTGGGCAGTGTTGAGTCTATGGGCAGTGTTTAGTCTATGGGCAGTGTTGAGTCTATGTGCAGTGTTGAGTCTATGTGCAGTGTTGAGTCTATAGGTAGTGTTGAGTCTATGGGCAGTGTTGAGTTTATGGGCAGTGTTAGTCTATGGGCAGTGTTGAGTGTATGGGCAGTGTTGAGTCTATGGACTGTGTTAGTCTATGTAGTGTGTACTCTTTTGAACTTCTTTCGCACTGTACATATCCAACCGTGCTCATGGGAGCTACGGGGGGAGGGGGGGGGATCACAAACTAGACACAAAACTCAGTTTTAGAGCAATGAGTTTGTCAATGTCGATGGCAATGTAAATCTCCGCAGAGCTCCGAGTGGCTTCCAAATATCGGCAGGCAGAGGCGTTCCAGACGGCCGCAGAAGCGCGCGCGATGCAGTCGTGACGTCTTTGTTCGACCGCCCCCCCCGCCCCCCCCGTAACAGACTGTTGGGGTGGGTGCTGTTAGTAGCGAGCAGCGGCAGCAGCGGCGGATGCCGCCACTGTGGCACACGAGGGGGTGGGTGGGTGGCCAGCGGCCACGCCCGCACGGCCGCCCTTGTCTCCCGCAGTGGCAATGTCTACCACACACCGCACCAGGTACCCATTTGAGGCCGAGTCGACCCAGAGGAGGCACACACACGCGCGCTTGCGCGCGGAGTGCTCGGGGCGGAGTACCTTTTGAGATGCCTGGGATCCCAGCTTAGCGGCCTGTGTGGAGCGTGCGGACGAGGAGGAGGAGGGGGGGTGAGGAGAGACAACAAAATAAAGTCATAACCCGGAGCGTCGCAAACGCGTCGTCACGCACAGCGTCAGCGCCAGCGCCAGCGTCAGCCCTCGTCCATCCACTGCTAGATGACAGCATCCACCACCCACCACCGACTTCGATCAATGTGTCGGGGGGCGGGGGGGTTGTTTGACCATACTTCACCATGCCAGTCAAGTGCGGCATGGATGGCGAAGGACGGTGTGCAGCGGTCCGGGCGCTGAACTTCACCCTCCGGACTGACGTCAGCCACCCCCGTGTCTCAGCGGGGTGGCTGGCCGCTTCAACAGCGCAGGTGGTCAACTTTACACGCCAGCCAGCCAAGCCAGCCAAGCCAGCCAAGCCAGCCAAGCCAGCCAAGCCAGCCAAACCAGCCAAGCCAGCCAAGCCAGCCAAGCCAGCTTCCTCATTCTGACTTTTTTAGTTACCCAGGGGGCGCAAACAGCCAAGTGGCGGGACCTCTTCGTCTCGGAGGAGGGGGTCACGGGGGTCACGGGGGTCACGGGGGTCACGGGGGTCACGGGGGTCACGGGGGTCACAGGGGTCACAGGGGTCACCGGAGTCACCCCCCCCCCCACCCCCGGCCTCTTATCTCTTCGCTGGCTACCGGTCAAACTCCGAGTAGATTTTAAGGCACTGATATTCACCTATAAGTCTTTAAAATGGCTCACCACCCACGTTACTTGCAGCAACTAATACATTGATATATATACAATCAAGGTCCTTAAGTTCTTCTGATCTTCAACGACTCAGCACTCCCACAGGTCTCCAGGCTGCGCTCTTTTGGCGATCAGCGCTGTTGTCAGCGTGGCACCACAAACTACGGGACGCCTTGCCACTTGAAATCAGGGCGATCAGAGTTGGTAGATATATTTAATTCTGCTTTGAAAACCCAACTCCTATAAACTGGTCTTCACTCTTCAGTGTGGGCGTTTGGCCCACTGGGTTCTGTTTTTGAATTATTCTTATCATTATTATAAAACTTGAGAAGTTTTCAGTCGCCTATTGCGCGTTCATACGTGGCGGGAGGAGGAAGCCCCGAGAGCCCGGAAGACAACCGGATGCCTTTGCGAGCGAGGGGGCAACGCTCGATCCCCCCTCCCCGCACACATGGAGACAGGCGGCCGATTAGTCCACTCGCTGACAGAGCCAGGAGGTTACATGGCCCAGAACGGATGTCTGCGATTAAGAGCTTTATAGATTCCAACTCGGATTCTGATCTCGACGCCTGCGGGGTTAAGTGAGTCTAACAGCCGAGGCCAATCCGTGTCGAAGGCAATGCTCACATGGAGTGGAATAATTATCTGCGTGCGGTTATATATCCGATTTGCGGATTAACCGCGCGCACTGAGATTTTGCCCCAAGTTAATAGCTCGTGCCCAAATTGATAATCATAAAACAGCGATACATTGTTATTCTTGGAAATGTTTATTTACAAGTTGCTTAACCGGACAAATATCTTCCTCCGGTTAATCCCAAATCCACGTGAGATCACCTCTACAGATGATCTGAACCGGCCTTCATAGGTGCTGCTACTCGCTAACAGCACTTGCCCCGACAGTCTGTTAAAGGCTACACGGTGGGGGGGGGATCTTTGTCTTTATGTCGCGGGCGCGCATGGGTATTACGTTTCTAAGGGCTACGTTATTCCGTGTTAAACTTTAATCTCGCGGCGTCGGATTTCGCTGTCGGCAGAGGGAGAAAATAAAACGGCCGACTTGCCATCTCGGCAGCAGCGCGGCGCAATGCCTCTCACGTTGCCCACGCGCGACGATTCAAACGGTGCGGTGATGATGGCTAAACCCGTCGCATTCTTCCGGATGTGGTCAAAATTGCACTCGCAGTCTTCAAGATCCATCCCTCCATGTACTTACTACCCCTGCCTACCCTCTCCCCTCTCATCTCACTCCACTCCCCTTCACGCACTCTCCTGCCTCTCCCCTCTCATCTAACTCCACTCCACGCACTCTCCTACCTCTCCCCTCTCATCTCACTCTACTCCCCTCCACGCACTCTCCTACCTCTCCCCTCTCATCTCACTCCAGTCCCCTCCACGCACTCTCCTACCTCTCCCCTCTCATCTCACTCTACTCCCCTCCAAAATAGTTTCGTTAGTTAGCTCAGAGACCCCATCTATCCTTTTACCCGGTAAAAAGGGTAAATTACCTTACCGAGGCCTACTATACACTACACCACTATACACTAAACCACTATACACTACACCACTATACACTACACCACTATACATGACACTACTATACATGACACTACTATGCACGGCACACTACACCACTATTCACTACACTATACACTACACGATACACTATACCACTATACACTACACCATACACTACACCACTATACACGACACTACTATGCACTACACATTGGCCTCTCTTGAGGCCCGTCATTAAGTGATAAGTCCTTAAGGGGGCTGCTCGTCAAGAGGGGTTCTACCGTAACGAGGTCGCGATCCTCACGCAGCGGACCGCTTCAACCACGCCGGGTTGGCGGCGAAAGGTGTGGGGGGGGGTGGCGGGGTGTCGCACAGACGCGGCGACGTAGAAATAGAGGACAACAGCAGACGCTGCGTCGCGATTCAGCACGCACGGGGGGTGCGGCACTCGGAGGCGGTCCGTCGATTGTTTTTGTTGCAAAGCTTGGGAGGGAGCGAGGAAGCGAGCGAGGGAGCGAGGGAGCGAGGGAGCGAGGGAGGGAGCGAGGGAGCGAGCGAGGGAGCGAGGGAGGGAGTGAGGGAGCGAGGGAGGGAGCGAGTGAGCGAGGGAGGGAGCGAGGGAGCGAGGGAGGGAGCGAGGGAGCGAGGGAGGGAGGGAGCGAGGGAGCGAGGGAGCGAGGGAGCGAGGGAGCGAGGGAGCGAGGGAGGGAGCGAGGGAGGGAGGGAGCGAGGGAGCGAGGGAGGGAGGAAGCGAGGTAGGGAGGAAGCGAGGTAGGGAGGGAACGAGCGAGCGAGGGAGGGAGCGAGGGAGCGAGGGAGGGAGGGAGCGAGGGAGCGAGGGAGCGAGGGAGCGAGGGAGCGAGGGAGCGAGGGAGCGAGCGAGGGAGCGAGGGAGGGAGCGAGGGAGCGAGGGAGGGAGCGAGGGAGCGAGGGAGCGAGCGAGGGAGGGAGCGAGGGAGCGAGGGAGGGAGCGAGGGAGCGAGGGAGCGAGGGAGGGAGCGAGGGAGGGAGCGAGGGAGGGAGCGAGGGAGGGAGCGAGGGAGGGAGGGAGCGAGGGAGCGAGGAAGGGAGGAAGCGAGGTAGGGAGGAAGCGAGGTAGGGAGGGAACGAGCGAGCGAGGGAGGGAGCGAGGGAGCGAGGGAGCGAGGGAGCGAGGGAGCGAGGGGAGCGAGGGAGGGAGCGAGCGAGGGAGGGCGGGAGGGAGGGAGGGAGGGAGCGAGGGAGGGAGGGAGGGAGGGAGCGAGGGAGGGAGGGAGCGAGGGAGGGAGGGAGCTAGGGAGCGAGGGAGCGAGCGAGGGAGGGAGGAGATCGCAGGGCTGCAGCGCGACTGCATTTTTGACCGCTCACGGAGCCTCACTGAAGGGACACGCGCAGGCTCGGACGATTACCGAGGCTCAGCCGATTCATGAGACTCTTTGAAGATTAAGGAGACTCTAGACGATGAACGAGTCTCAGAGGAGACGAACGAATAACGAGACTCGGTGATTCACGAGAATCAGGACGATTCACGATTCATGGCACCCCAGCTCAAGTTTCTCTTGACCGCGATGGATGGCCTCGGAGCGTCGCCATCGAGACGACCGAGGGGTCGGTGATTAACAACGAAGACGCTCACGGCAGGGACGGCACAGTCCGAGCCGAAGGCGGTGGGGGGGAGGAGGAGGGGAGGGGAGGGAGTTTCTTTTGATAAAACGAGGAACTCAACAGACCGGGATGAGTCTCATTTACAAACGAAATCACAATTACGGTCGATCATCCATCACCCGGCACCGAGCGATCATCCGGCTGCTGCTTCCAACGTTATCCAGCGGTCCGGCAAAACCGCTCCACAGGCTGTAATCCACTCCGGCGATCGGCACCGTGTCGCGTGACAAGGTAGCCACGCTCGATTTCGGCGTGAAATATTAAACACGCTACATTATGCAATACATTCAACTTACACAATGAAAATACTGCACGTCACCCCATGCCGAGTCGTCGAGATTGAAGTTGTCGGCACGGTACGGTAAATACAGCAACACTTTACAGTCCGGATACTCGTGTGTTTGTCTGTTCATGTGTGCCAATTCCATGAAATAAACGCAGCAGTGGCAGCAGCTGTAGCTACTGCTCCTGGGTAAAGTACGAAATGGTGAAGGGCAAAGTCAGCTGACCGATTCCCGCTGAGCCCGGCCACAGTCCCACCCGATGGATCCTCAAATTGCGTTCTTAAAACGTCTCCGGGCGCCAGGGGCGTGGCTCCTGCATGCGCCTGGCGCCGTACCTACGTTGGGCGTAGAGGGGTCGGCTACGTACGGTGGGGAGGGGGGTGGGGGGGGTGGGGAGGCACAGCGGCACTCACCCCTTCCTTGGCCACGGTGGCGATCTTGCTCGCCCCCACCGCAAAGCTGCTCCAGCCCTGGCGGGGAGAGAGCAAGCAAGCAAGCAAGAGGAGGAGGAGGAGGAGGAGGAGGTGTGAGGGGGAGGAGGAGGAAGGGGGGAGGAGGAAGGGGGGAGGAGGAAGGGGGGAGGAGGTGGAGGAGGAGGTGTAGGAGGTGGAAGAGGTGATGCAAGGAGAAGGGGGAGGTGGTATTTAAAATCGCATTTTTTTACAGTATACAGTACATGTTGTGTGTCTCTGAACGGTGCTTCTTGAATGTGTTATCGTTAGTGTCGACGTTAGCTAAGGCACACTCATCCTGAGCTGCTGTTCAGTTGCCTGGGTGAAAAGTGGGAAGGGGGGGGCGGGTGGGGGCTCATGGCGGTGTTGAGGGGGGGGGGGTTCATGGTGGTGTTGAGGGGGGGGTCTCACGGAGTAGAAGGAGGACATGGCATTGTTGAGGGGTGGGGGTGATGGTGGTGTTGAGGGGGGGGGGGTGATGGTGTGTTGAGGGGGGGTGATGGTGGTGTTGAGGGGGGGTGATGGTGGTGTTGAGGGGGGGGGGTGATGGTGGTGTTGAGGGGGGGGGATGATGGTGGTGTTGAGGGGGGGGTGATGGTGGTGTTGAGGGGGGGGGATGATGGTGGTGTTGAGGGGGGGGGGTGATGGTGGTGTTGAGGGGGGGGGTGATGGTGGTGTTGAGGGGGGGGGGGTGATGGTGGTGTTGAGGGGGGGGGGGTGATGGTGGTGTTGAGGGGGGGGGGTTGATGGTGGTGTTGAAGGGGGGGGTTGATGGTGGTGTTGAGGGGGGGGGTGATGGTGGTGTTGAGGGGGGGGGATGATGGCGTTGTTGAGGGGGGGGGGGTGATGGTGGTGTTGAGGGGGGGGGTGATGGTGGTGTTGAGGGAGGGGGGGGTGATGGTGGTGTTGAGGGGGGGGGGTGATGGTGGTGTTGAGGGGGGGGGGGTGATGGTGGTGTTGAGGGGGGGGGGTGATGGTGGTGTTGAGGGGGGGGTGTGGTGGGGGTGAGGTGGTGTTGAGGGGGGGGGGTGATGGTGGTGTGAGGGGGGGGGGTGATGGCGTTGTTGAGGGGGGGGGGTGATGGTGGTGTTGAGGGGGGGGGTCTCACGGAGTAGAAGGAGGACATGGCGTTGTTGAGGGGGGGGGTGATGGTGGTGTATGAGGGGGGGGGGTCTCACGGAGTTGAAGGAGGACATGGCGTTGTTGAGGGGGGGGGTGATGGTGGTGTTGAGGGGGGGGGGGTGATGGTGGTGTTGAGGGGGGGGGGGGTGATGGTGGTGTTGAGGGGGGGGGTGATGGTGGTGTATGAGGGGGGGAGTCTCACAGAGTAGAAGGAGGACATGGCGTTGTTGAGGGGGGGGGTGATGGTGGTGTTGAGGGGGGGGGGGGGTGATGGTGGTGTTGAGGGGGGGGGTGATGGTGGTGTTGAGGGGGGGGGGTTGATGGTGGTGTTGAGGGGGGGGGGTTGATGGTGGTGTTGAGGGGGGGGGGGTGATGGTGGTGTTGAGGGGGGGTGGTTGAGGGGGGGTGTGATGGTGGTGTTGAGGGGGGGGGGTTGATGGTGGTGTTGAGGGGGGGGGGGTTGATGGTGGTGTTGAGGGGGGGGGGGGGGGTGATGGTGGTGTTGAGGGGGGGAGTGATGGTGGTGTTGAGGGGGGGGGTGATGGTGGTGTTGAGGGGGGGGGTGATGGTGGTGTTGAGGGGGGGGTGATGGAGTGTTGAGGGGGGGGGGTGATGGTGGTGTTGAGGGGGGGGGGGGTGATGGCGTGTTGAGGGGGGGGTTGATGGTGGTGTTGAGGGGGGGGGGTGATGGTGGTGTTGAGGGGGGGGGTGATGGTGGTGTTGAGGGAGGGGGGGTGATGGTGGTGTTGAGGGGGGGGGGTGATGGTGGTGTTGAGGGGGGGGGTGATGGTGGTGTTGAGGGGGGGGGGTGATGGTGGTGTTGAGGGGGGGGGGTGATGGTGGTGTTGAGGGGGGGGGTGATGGTGGTGTTGAGGGGGGGGGGTGATGGTGGTGTTGAGGGGGGGGTGATGGTGGTGTTGAGGGGGGGGGTGATGGTGGTGTTGAGGGGGGGGGTGATGGTGGTTGAGGGGGGGGGTGATGGTGGTGTTGAGGGGGGGGTGATGGTGGTGTTGAGGGGGGGGGGGGATGGTGGTGTTGAGGGGGGGGGGTGATGGCGTTGTTGAGGGGGGGGGGGTGATGGTGGTGTTGAGGGGGGGGGTCTCACGGAGTAGAAGGAGGACATGGCGTTGTTGAGGGGGGGGGTGATGGTGGTGTATGAGGGGGGGGGGTCTCACGGAGTTGAAGGAGGACATGGCGTTGTTGAGGGGGGGGGGGTGATGGTGGTGTTGAGGGGGGGGGTGATGGTGGTGTTGAGGGGGGGGGTGATGGTGGTGTTGAGGGGGGGGGTCTCACGGAGTAGAAGGAGGACATGGCGTTGTTGAGGAGGTCGTCGTCCTTCTTCTGCGGCTCCACGGTGTTGCCGAAGCCGACGTAGCGACTGTCATGGCCGCTGTGGCCACCGCCGCTGAGGCACGGAAACCACGGTGGTGGTGGTGGTGGTGGCGGCAGCAACGACAACAACGATGACGATGACAACGAAAACAACAAACGACGACGACAACACCGAAAACAACAACAACGACAACAATGACACCAAAAACAATGACAATAACAACAAATGACATAGTAAGCAACAACAATGACAACGACGACAACAACACCAATGACAATACAGAAAACAACAACAACAAACGAGAACAACACCGAAAACAACGATAATAAAAAACGATAACAACAATGACAACAGCAACAAACAGAATCAGAATGGTTATTCGTTCCCCAGGATAAATCCGATTATCTACAAACGTCAGAAAGTTACAGAACGATACGAAAATAACAAAACCCGATGGGAGCGGCGGTGTTTGCCAGGAGGCGCACCTCTGGTAGCTGTCGTCACCGAGCCAGTCCTCGTAGTCGCTGGTCGTGGCGAAGGAGGAGGGCGCCTGCTGCTTGGAGCTGCTGCTGCTGTTCCTGTGGCGCCGGACAGACCGTAAAGACGGCGGAGAGACGGTGGGGAGACGGTGAACAAAACCCGGCAGCGAGAGGCGGAGTGGGGGAACGATGCCCATCACATTTGAAGAGCTGGGTCCGAGTTGGGTCAGAGCTGGGTCAGAGCTAGAGGCCGACCAAAATTCGGTTTCGGTTTCGGCGCCGAAAGTTGGCAAATGGCCTCTTTCGGCATAGTTTCTATTTCGGCCGAAGCCAAAAAGTGAACTTTCGGTTTACTTTCGGGTTTCGGCCGAAAGTAAATATTGAACTTTCGGTCTGGTTTCTTTTTCGTCGAAACCAGAAATTCAGTTTCGGTCGGCCTCTAGTCAGAGCTGGGTCAGAGTTGGGCCACCACACCGGTGTTAGTGAGGGTCACCACGCCGGTGTTAGTGAGGCCCACCATACCGGTGTTAGTGAGGGTCACCACGCCGGTGTTAGTGAGGCCCACCATACCGGTGTTAGTGAGGGTCACCACACCGGTGTTAGTGAGGGTCACCACGCCGGTGTTAGTGAGCCCCACCATACCGGTGTTAGTGAGGGTCACCACGCCGGTGTTAGTGAGGCCCACCATACCGGTGTTAGTGAGGGTCACCACGCCGGTGTTAGTGAGGCCCACCATACCGGTGTTAGTGAGGGTCACCACGCCGGTGTGAGTGAGGATCACCACGCCGGTGTGAGTGAGGGTCACCACGCCGGTGTTAGTGAGGGTCACCACGCCGGTGTGAGGGTCACCACGCCGGTGTTAGTGAGGGTCACCACGCCGGTGTTAGTGAGGCCCACCATACCGGTGTTAGTGAGGGTTACCACGCCGGTGTTAGTGAGGCCCACCATACCGGTGTTAGTGAGGGTCACCACGCCGGTGTGAGTGAGGGTCACCACGCCGGTGTGAGGATCACCACGCCGGTGTGAGGGTCACCACGCCGGTGTGAGTGAGGGTCACCACGCCGGTGTGAGTGAGGGTCACCACACCGGTGTGAGTGAGGGTCACCACACCGGTGTTAGTGAGGGTCACCACGCCGGTGTGAGGGTCACCACGCCGGTGTGAGGGTCACCACGCCGGTGTGAGGGTCACCACGCCGGTGTGAGTGAGGGTCACCACGCCGGTGTGAGGGTCACCACGCCGGTGTGAGGGTCACCACACCGGTGTTAGTGAGGGTCACCACGCCGGTGTGAGGGTCACCACGCCGGTGTGAGGGTCACCACGCCGGTGTGAGTGAGGGTCACCACGCCGGTGTGAGGGTCACCACGCCGGTGTGAGGGTCACCACGCCGGTGTGAGTGAGGGTCACCACGCCGGTGTGAGTGAGGGTCACGACGCCGGTGTGAGTGAGGGTCACCACGCCGGTGTGAGTGAGGGTCACCACGCCGATGTGAGTGAGGGTCACCACACCGGTGTGAGTGAGGGTCACCACGCCGGTGTGAGTGAGGCCCACCACACATCTGGGGGAGAAGTCGCAATAAAAGGCCACTAGGGGCCACCAGTGGGCCCGCGGTGGCCGGAGAGGCCGCGTGGTTGCGTGTCTGTTGTTGGCACAGGAGGGCGGACACGTGGTGCATCGGCCAGTCATCTCGGTCATCTCAGTCAGTCGACCCACGGCACCTGGGTCTGCCCCGTGACCTTCTACCGACGGGCGTTCGACACTTCACGTGGCCTCAACGTGTACATGGCCTGGCACAAGCGCCGTGGTGACATCACCGCCACTTAGTGGCGAATGGCGGTTGTTGTTGTTATTGTGTGCGTGTGCGCGCGCGTGTGCGTGCGCGCGTGCACACGCACACAATAGTGTAGTGGTTAGCGCACGATGCGACGAACCCGTCGACTCGAGTTCGATTCCCGCTGACGGCAAACACCGGTGACGATTATCTGAACCGGTCCTGGGCTTCCCCTAGGTAGACTCAGCCTCAAATAAGTACCTGGTGCATTAAGTATTGCCACTGGGGAGACAAAGGTGGCCGGGCGCGTGTCGCTGTCCACCCACCCCACTCGTGTGCAGTGTCGGCCTTCACAGGTGCTACTCGCTAACAGCACTTGCCCCGGCAGTCTGTTGAGGCTACACGGGGGATCTTTGTCTTGTGTGTGTGAAGGCCGCACCTGTGGGAGGCGTTGAGGCGGCCGCCGGCCTGCGGAGGCGCCCAGTTCCGGGCCTCCGACGTCTCCTCGGACCACTCGCGCCCCTCGGCCTGCGCCGAGATCTGGGGGGGGGCGGGGGGGGGCGGGGGGGGGAGGGTGGCACGGGGAGAGTGGCGATGGTGACGACGTGCGGGTAACCGCCGTCGTCACGGGTAACCACCGTCGTCACGGCCACACGAGGGGTGGGGGGGATGGGTGGGGGGGGTGGGGGATGGGTGGGGGGTGACCTTGTCACGGTAGAGGGCGGCGGGGCGGCTGTTGTACTTCTCCTGCAGCGTCCAGCCCTCCTCCACGTCGTCGCGCTCCCCCAGGAAGGCGCGGAACCTCGTGTTGCCCCCCGCCTTCATCTTCGCCAGCTCCAGGTCCTTCCACTTGTCCATGGAGACTGAGCGCACAAAGCTGCACCGCACAGACGGGGGGGGGGGGGGGGGGGGGGAGCATGCGAGGGAGGAGAGAGAGGAGAGGCGACGGTGACTGAGAGCACGCGTGTGGCAGTGACAGAGTGACTGGGAGGATGATGAGAAAGTGATGAGGAGGATGATGAGAGCGAGGGAGTGATGAGGAGGCAACAACAGCAGAGGGCGGAGAGTGATGCACGCAAACGTCGGTCACTGGCCGTTTTAAAACAAAGACACTAAAACTATTTCTTATTTTACCGGAGCAGGAGAGCAAGCGGGGGTGGGAGAGTGAGCGGGAGAGAGAGTTGGAGAGCCAACGGGAGAGTGAGCGGTGGAGTGAGAGTGAGAGCGAGCGGGAAAGAGAGCGGTGGAGTGAGAGCGAGCGGGAGAGCGAGCGGGAGAGCGAGCGGGAGAGTGAGCGGGAGAGTGAGCGGGAGAGCGAGCGGGAGAGCGAGCGGGAGAGTGAGAGTGAGCGGGAGAGTGAGCGGGAGAGTGAGCTAGTGAGTGGGAGAGTGAGCGGGAGAGTGAGAGTGAGCGGGAGAGTGAGCGGGAGAGTGAGCGGGAGAGTGAGCGGAGAGAGAGAGCGGGAGAGGTGGCGGGGAGCGAGAGAGCGAGCGGGAGAGTGAGAGTGCGAGGGAAAGACAGCGGAGGAGAGTGAGCGGGAGAGTGAGCGGGAGCGGGAGAGTGAGCGGGAGAGTGAGCGGGGAGTGAGCGGGAGAGTGAGCGGGAGAGTGAGCGGGAGAGAGAGCGGGAGAGTGAGAGTGAGCGGGAAAGAGAGGGAGAGAGTGGGAGAGTGAGCGGGAGGGGAGAGTGAGATAGTGAGTGGGAGAGCGAGCGGGAGAGAGAGTGGGAGAGCGAGCGGGAGAGCGAGCGGGGAGAGGAGAGCGGGAGAGTGAGAGCGAGCGGGAGAGAGAGCGGAGAGGAGAGTGAGAGTGAGCAGGAAAGTGAGCGGGGGAGAATGAGGGGAGAGAGAGCGGGAGAGAGAGCGGGAGAGAGAGCGGGTGAGCGAGCGGGAGAGAGAGCGGGTGAGGGAGCGGGAGAGCGAGCGGGAGAGCGAGCGGGAGAGAGAGCGGGAGAGCGAGCGGGAGAGCGAGCGGGAGAGCGAGCGGGAGAGCGAGAGTGAGCGGGAGAGTGAGCGGGAGAGAGAACGGGAGAGAGAGCGGGAGGGAGAGCGGGAGAGTGAGCGGGTGAGTGAGCGGGAGAGTGAGAGTGAGCGGGAGAGCGAGTGGGAGAGCGAGCGGGAGAGCGAGCGGGAGAGCGAGTGGGAGAGTGAGTGGGAGAGTGAGAGTGAGCAGGAGAGCGAGCGGGAGAGCGAGCAGGAGAGCGAGCGGGAGAGCGAGCAGGAGAGCGAGCGGGAGAGCGAGCGGGAGAGCGAGCGGGAGAGAGAGCGGGAGAGAGAGCAGGAGAGAGAGCGGGAGATGTGAGCGGGAGAGTGAGCGGGAGAGAGAACGGGAGAGTGAGCGGGTGAGTGAGCGGGAGAGCGAGCGGGAGAGCGAGCGGGAGAGTGAGCGGTGGAGTGAGAGTGAGCAGGAGAGTGAGCGGGAGAGCGGGAGAGAGAGCGGGAGAGTGAGCGGGAGAGTGAGAACGGGAGAGTGAGCGGGAGAGTGAGCGGGAGAGCGGGAAAGTGAGAACGGGAGAGTGAGCGGGAGAGTGAGAACGGGAGAGAGAGCGGGAGAGTGAGAACGGGAGAGGGAGCGGGAGAGAGTGAATGAGAGCGGGGGCGGGAGAGCGAGCGAGCGAGTGGCTGAGCAGCGGGGCGTTGAGGGGTGCGTCGTGGCGACTACCTGAGGTGCACCCCGAGCCCCCGGTGCCTCCCCGAGCACTCGAGGCAGATCCAGATGCCGTAGGTGACGCTCACCCACTGCGGGTTGAACGCTCCGCACTCGAAGCACGTCTGTGGCACGCAGCACGGCACGGAACACGCAGCATGAGACACAGCGAACAGCACGGGACACGCAGCATGAGACACAGCGAACAGCACGGGACGCGAAGCACGGGACACAGCGAACAGCACGGGACGCGAAGCATGAGACACAGCGAACAGCACGGGACGCGAAGCATGAGACACAGCGAACAGCACGGTACACGAAGCACGGGACACGCAGCATGAGACATAGCGAATAGCACAGGACGCGAAGCACGGGCCACGGGACACAGCGCACGGCACGGGACACAACAAACAAAGATCAGAACGGACGGGAGCTTCCATTCCTTGAGTTATCATTTGCGATAACCAGGCTCACTGCTGAAAAGTAACTATTAGTGAAGCCCCACCCACAATGGATTGGAGATGTTGACTACCTCGCCTGGTGTGCAGGAGGTCGTGGGTTCGATCCCGACCCTGCCGCCTGCCGCTGCTGTATATGTGGAGTCTGCGTGTCTCTCTCTCTACCCGTGGTCGCGTGGATTTTACTCCGGGTCTTCCGGTTTTCCCCTCCACATTGAGAATCACCGTCACGCTTGGAGTCGTTTCCACACGACGATGACGACGATGAGCCACCAGCCACCACGGGTGGCCAGGGTCGCGTCTGAGACAGGAGCTACACAGCTCTGTGTTTCACGTGGAGAGTGGCGGGTCGAGAGGCGGAGGGCGACTCACCGCGTTGTCGTCCTGGCCGCGGACTTCCTTGAGCACTCGCCGAGTCCTGGGGCTCGCCATGGCTCCTCCTCCTCCTGCTGCAACCCACGGGGAGCGTAGAGTCCACCACTAGAGTCCACCACCACTAAACTCCACCACCGCCGCACTCCACCACCACAGTCCACCGCCACAGTCCACCGCCACAGTCCACCGCCACAGTCCACCGCTAGACTCCACTGCCACAGTCCACCGCCACAGTCCACCGCCACAGTCCACCACCACAGTCCACCGCTAGACTCCACCGCCACAGTCCACCGCCACAGTCCACCGCCACAGTCCACCGCTAGACTCCACCGCCACAGTCCACCACCACAGTCCACCGCTAGACTCCTCCACCACAGTCCACTACCACAGTCCACCGCTAGACTCCACCACCACAGTCCACCGCTAGACTCCACCACCACAGTCCACCGCCAGACTCCACCGCCACAGTCCACTACCAGATTCCACCGCCACACTCCACCACCAGACTCCACCGCCACAGTCCACCACCAGACTCCACCGCCACACTCCACCACCAGACTCCACCGCCACAGTCCACCACCAGACTCCACCGCCACACTCCACCACCAGACTCCACCACCACAGTCCACCACCAGACTCCACCACCACAGTCCACCACCAGACTCCACCACCACAGTCCACCACCAGATTCCACCGCCACACTCCACCACCAGACTCCACCGCCACAGTCCACCACCAGACTCCACCGCCACACTCCACCACCAGACTCCACCGCCAGTCCACCACCAGACTCCACCGCCACAGTCCACCACCAGACTCCACCGCCACAGTCCACCACCAGACTCCACCGCCACACTCCACCACCAGACTCCACCACCACAGTCCACCACCAGACTCCACCACCACAGTCCACCACCAGATTCCACCGCCACACTCCACCACCAGACTCCACCGCCACAGTCCACCACCAGACTCCACCGCCACACTCCACCACCAGACTCCACCGCCAGTCCACCACCAGACTCCACCACCACAGTCCACCACCAGACTCCACCGCCACAGTCCACCACCAGACTCCACCGCCACAGTACACCACCAGACTCCACCGCCACAGTCCACCACCAGACTCCACCGCCACACTCCACCACCAGACTCCACCGCCAGTCCACCACCAGACTCCACCGCCACAGTCCACCACCAGACTCCACCGCCACAGTACACCGCTAGAGTCCACCGCTAGACTCCACCGCAGACTCCACCACCACAGTCCACCACCAGACTCCACCGCCACAGTCCACCACCAGACTCCACCGCCACACTCCACCACCAGACTCCACCGCCACAGTCCACCACCAGACTCCACCGCCACACTCCACCACCAGACTCCACCACCACAGTCCACCACCAGACTCCACCACCACAGTCCACCACCAAACTCCACCGCCACAGTACACCGCTAGAGTCCACCGCTAGACTCCACCGCAGACTCCACCGCCACACTCCACCACCAGACTCCACCGCCACAGTCCACCACCAGACTCCACCGCCACACTCCACCACCAGACTCCACCGCCACACTCCACCACCAAACTCCACCGCCACAGTCCACCACCAGACTCCACCGCCACAGTCCACCACCAGACTCCACCGCCACACTCCACCACCAGACTCCACCGCCACAGTCCACCACCAGACTCCACCGCCACACTCCACCACCAGACTCCACCGCCACAGTCCACCGCTAGAGTCCACGGCTAGACTCCACCGCCACCACTAGACTCCACCGCGGTAGATCCACCGCGAGGCGAGCGCCACTCACCGCCGGCTCGAGGCTGGCCGCGGGGGCAGGACGCGGCTCGGGGCTTGCGGCCTCCTCGGCTGCTCGCCGCCTCGGCTCCTGCCGGGACGGGAAGCCGCCAGTCGCCGAGACGGACAGGCGATAAGAATCGCCGATCGACGATGATCGATGGGTTGATGATCGATGGGTTGATGATCTATGGCTTGATGATCGATGGGTTGATGATCGATGATTACGAATCGGCTCGAGTAGTGATCGGGGCCGCTGCTACCGCCGCCGCTGATGACGATGACGATGCCACGACGCAGTGACGTCACAGCCCCCCCCCCCCCCGAGTTGCCCCCCTCCTCCCCCTTGCCAGGTCCGAGGGTTAAAAAACCTCTAGGGCACCCCCCTCCCTCGGCGAGGTGAGAGCAGAGAATCGATTTCGCCTATAGGAGGGGTGGAATCGAGGTGTGGGCGATCCGGGGTTGGGGGGGGTCTCCCCCCCCACCCCTTCCCCACCCCATCTCGGTCCGCCTGGGGAGTTGGGAGAGGGAGCGAAGCTCACAACAACGAGCGGAGCGCCTGGCGGATAAAGCGCAGTGGATTGTTGGCGTCTCAGTCGGTCAAACCCACGGCACCTGCTGGGTCTGTCCCGTGACCACCTCCTGCACCTAGCCTGCACAGCAGTCATCACATAGCACCTGGGTCTGTCCCGTGACCACCTCCTGCACCTAGCCTGGCACAGCAGTCATCACATAGCACATGGGTTTGTTCCGTGACCTCCTGCACCTAGCCTGCACAGCAGTCATTCCATAGCACCTGGGTATGTCCCGTGACCACCTCCTGCACCTAGCCTGGCACAGCAGTCATCACATAGCACATGGGTTTGTTCCGTGACCTCCTGCACCTAGCCTGGCACAGCAGTCATCCCATTGCACCTGGGTCTGTCCCGTGACCTCCTGCACCTAGCCTGGCACAGCAGTCATCACATAGCACATGGGTTTGTTCCGTGACCTCCTGCACCTAGCCTGGCACAGCAGTCATCACATAGCACATGGGTTTGTTCCGTGACCTCCTGCACCTAGCCTGCACAGCAGTCATTCCATAGCACCTGGGTCTGTCCCGTGACCACCTCCTGCACCTAGCCTGGCACAGCAGTCATCACATAGCACATGGGTTTGTTCCGTGACCTCCTGCACCTAGCCTGGCACAGCAGTCATCACATAGCACATGGGTTTGTTTCGTGACCTCCTGCACCTAGCCTGGCACAGCAGTCATTCCATAGCACCTGGGTCTGTCCCGTGACCACCTCCTGCACCTAGCCTGGCACAGCAGTCATCCCATTGCACATGGGTTTGTTCCGTGACCTCCTGCACCTAGCCTGGCACAGTAGTCATTCCATAGCACCTGGGTCTGTCCCGTGACCACCTCCTGCACCTAGCCTGGCACAGCAGTCATCACATAGCACATGGGTTTGTTCTGTGACCTCCTGCACCTAGCCTGGCACAGCAGTCATTCCATAGCACATGGGATTGTTCCGTGACCTCCTGCACCTAGCCTGGCACAGCAGTCATTCCATAACACATGGGTTTGTCCCGTGACCTCCTCCTGCACCTAGCCTGGCACAGCAGTCATCCCATTGCACATGGGTTTGTCCCGTGACCACCTCCTCCTCCTGCACCTAGCCTGGCACAGCAGTAAAACCCCCGGCGCTAGGGTCTATCCCGTGACAGACCCAGGTATAGTTTTATTTAAGGTACAAATACAAATAAACTAAACTTAGATTTTATAGCTCAACGAAAATGGCTTATCACGTGGACATTTATCGCAGCTAAATACTCAAAACGAACTTTTTATTTGTCTATTTCTTTTCGAGTGATGTGTTTACCTTGCCTATACTTTGCACTCCGTTATTGTTTGTAAATTGTGTTTGTTGTTGTTGTTGTTGTGACGTTCGAGCCTCGTGCTCCTAATGGTCATCTGTGAAGAAGAGCTTTATATCTCATCGGATTCCTCCAGGATAAATAAATACAGGGACTCCTCGACTTACGAACTAGGTGGGTTCCATAGGTCTGTTCGTAAGTCGATTTGTTCGTAAATCCAACTTTACTCCTGTCGATTCCCAACGTGTTGTACGGCGTGTACACTAAACACGGGGAGTGGCTTTATAAGTTGTAAATCCCCTGTAGACGGATATGCCACTGGTTCTTCACGTTCTGTAGATGTAGATGCCACTGGATATTCACGTTCTGTAGATGTAGATGCCACTGGATATTCACGTTCTGTAGATGTAGATGCCACTGGATATTCACGTTCTGTAGATGTAGATGCCACTGGATATTCACGTTCTGCAGATGTAGATGCCACTGGTTCTTCACGTTCTGTAGATGGATATGCCACTGGTTCTTCATGTTATGCAGATGTAGATGCCACTGGTTCTTCACGTTCTGTAGATGTAGATGCCACTGGTTCTTCATGTTATGCAGATGTAGATGCCACCACCGCCATCTATTGTTCGGCGGTTGAACTTACGACTCTCCGTCCGAACAGACAACTTGGGCATAGGAGAGGTTTGTTCGTATCTCTTAAAGTTCCTAAATCTAATGTCCGTAAGTAGAGGAGTATGTTCAGCAGAGTGCTCGTAAGTAGAAGAGTTTGTTGCATCGTTTGATCTTAAACGAAGGAGTTTGTCCGGTAAAATGTTCGCACATAGAGGAGTCTGAAATTGACCAATCGGAGTTCGTTCTGTAAGGAGGCGGGGTCGCGAGACATGGGGGGGGCGGGGTTCGGGCACGTCACCAGTAGGGGGGGAGGGATCGAGTCACCCCACCCCTCGCCCCCATTCATTCCCAGTGATGTCACTCACATCAGAGGCGTCTGGGCTGCAGGTTGTCAGATGAGAGGGATGTTATTTCTGCTAAGTTATTTACATTAAGTTTAAACATCTGAATCATTATTCAGACTGCAGCAGGGAATCCCAAGAGCTATGAATAAAATGTTTATTTATTTATTTTTCCCGACGTCCAGTGTGGGGTCAGCAAGTTACAAACCAAGCAACCCACACGTGATGCAGCAAACACCCACGTGGTAAGCGAGCCACTCAACATAGATACATCAGAAACACACATCGATAAATACCCCCCACCAATAATCGATATACATTATAATTTATATAAATACATTATACATTAACGACATCACGTTCAACCCTCGTCTCTTTAAGGGGCCGTCCATTAATGACGTCACGCGATTTTTGACGATTTTGACCCCCCCCCCCCCTTCGTCACACGGCGTCATAAAAAGTCAGACCCCCCCTCAAATATGACGTCACAAAGCTCTGCCCCCCCCCCCATAAAAATAAAACATGCTTCAAATGGCTTTAAACTATTGTCATTGTAGTGCGTATTTAATGTGGCGCTGCACTCTGATGTTGTAGGAGAAAACATTAAAAAGTTAATAAAGTAGAACGTGTTGTCTATATTTAAAGTTGCGCATTTTGATGTGACGTCACATTTCTCACCCCCCCCCCCGTCACACATTGTCACAAATATCTGACCCCCCCCCCCTCCTAGGTTCGTGACGTCATTTATGGACGGCCCCTAAGACCGAAACAGCAGGAAGAGGAGGATTTCTCCACAAGTCTGGCTGTCGCCTGACGATGCTGGTTGTGGTTGTTGTTGTAATCACTGGCGAGACGTCACCGGCTCCTCGAATTGTGTAAATGTCGCTGTAGGTGTCACTCTCCCCAACGCACAACAACCGGCCAAGTGCTGGACCAGTCACGAGTTGGGCACGGGTCTGTTTACGTGACAACTGGTTGGCTGTGTCGGGTGGTGGCGGGTTTAACGACACATTTATATTCACGCGGTCTAACCCAAAAGACAACCTCTATTATGCGTGAATTCTGATTCACCGTCAGCCACGATCGATCCACTGCTGGATGAAGGCCTCCCCAAACAGCCACTTCCCCCTTACTAAAACTACACTCTCAACTAATTTGTATTTTATTTTTTTGCCAGGTGTAAGGCCCCCACCACTGAGCTGCTACGTAGCTCCATCACAAATGATCGCCCGACGAAGAGTGGCTCATCACCGTCATCGCGTGGAAATTCATCGCAGCCAAATACTCGAAATGCATGACGCTGATTCTCAATGTGGAGGGGAAACCCCAGAGGAGGCGGAGGGGAAACCCCAGAGGAGGCGGAGAAAACTCCACGCGACCACGAGGAGAGAGAGAGAGAGACCGCAAACTACAAATACACAGCAGCGGTGGCGGCAGGCGTCAGAGTCGAGATCGAACCCACGACCTCCTCCATACAGAGCGAGGTCGGGAACATCTCCTAGCCACCGCACTTACAATGATGGATCCTGCGATGCAGCGACCCACCCAGCACCTCCCTACGTGCGTTCTCTACCCGATTTCGTCACCGTTCCATCTCCTCCTCGGTGGTGCCCCACCCTTCTGGACGCGTTCCACGCCTTGGCTGCTGCTCCGTTGCTGCCCTTCTCCGATGTCTGTGCCGTGATGGGGTCTTAGTGCAGGCCCCGCCCACCCGCCCGCCACGGCGGCTGTAAGATGAAGATGTTAACCACCCGAATCCCCAGTCGCTTGCATCCGTCTCAATCACCATTCAGTCACCAACTCGCTCACCCCTCCACTCGCTCGTGTACCCTCGCCCACTCGTTGACTCACTCAATAACTCACCCGCCCCCCCACTCACCCACACACTCAACCCTTGCGCTCATTCATTCACTCACTCGCCCACTCATTCGCTCAATATCTCACCCACTCACTGAAATGCATCAGATAAATAAATGCGTGACTATGCATCTATAAATATACGATCACACCAGCTCAGGTTGACCACTACAGTGGCGAGATGTTAACTTCCTCGCCTGACATACAGGAGGTCATGGGCTTAATACCAACCTTGACGATGCCTGTTGTATTTTGGAGTTTGCGCCATCTCTCTCTTTTTCATCATCATCATCATCATCACGGTGGCTATGAGATGTTGACTACCTCGCCTGGTATACAGGAGGTCGTGGGTTTGATCCAAACCCTGACGCCTGCTGCTGTATATTTGGAGTTTGCGTCTCCGAGGCCGCGTGGATTTTTCTTCGGGTCCTCTGGTTTTTTCCCCTCATTGAGGAATCAACATCACCACGCGTTTAGAGTATTGGCCTGCTTGCTATAAATGTCCACACGATGATGATGATAATGATAAGTCCACTTCGTTGAGCCGATATCATTGTGACAGCCAAGGTCGCTTCTGAAAAAGAGCTACGTAGCTTTGAGGGGCCTTGCA